GTTTCCATAATTTTGCATGGAGTCTGAGGAGGCGCTGAATGTTTAGGAATATATTTGGACATGTCAGCGCCTTCCCGTGGGCAGAAATGTGAAATTGGTCGCGAGCATTTGATGAACTTTTGCCCCATTTCAAGTCACAAATCGCCGTGCTGGCTGACTGCCAGACATCATAGCCACTACTCAAGTGTATCTCAGCTCCAGGCACGCAGCACGCAGCACGAAGCACGCAGCAGCACGCGATGTTGTCCACTCATTAGCAGAAATGAGATAAAAAGGCCTGCGCCACAGGCTAACCTTGAATCGATTTACAAATTAAAGTCCTGCAAAGTCAACGCACTCCCTGACTAAAGAGAAAGAGTGGGAGAGAGAGAGAGAGGGAGAGGGAGAGAGTAGGAGTTCAGCTACCCGAAATTGCCTGGTTAGCAGCGGGCTAAAGAGTGAGAGCCAAAAATGTATAATCCAACAGGCAGCAGCGCATTGGCAAGCGAAACGGACAGCAAAACAAAGAGCGCTATAAATATCCCAAAGACAGATTTTAATGACAGCAATAAAGAATACAATGATGACTCGGCACACCCCATTCATCAACATCCGAGCAATGGGAGGAGGCTTGGAGCTGTGACTGCATCCCCTGATCATATTAATGCCATTCTGATCACTCATTGAACTTCTTTAGCTGTTGTTTGTAGCCCGTTGCGACAACGTGTTGCACATGGCTGCCGACGACCGGCGAGCGGCGAGTGGCGAGAGGAGAGCGGCGAGCGGTTATGGACGACGCCCACAGCTCTAAGTGCAATATGAGTAGCACTCGACGCTTGAAGATTATTTAAATCGCTGCTGGCAACAGGCTGGCAATGCGTTCGGTGGCAGCTGTTGCAACTGAAAAAGGGAAACTGGGAGTGAGGCAAACACATTTGGCGGCCAATGTGGTTGTTGCAGGGGGAGCTGTGAGCGGAGTGCGGGCGAGCTGAGCAACTGCTGATGTTAATTACCGAAACACAGCCGCAACACTCTCGACCAGTCTGACTATCTGGACTGCCAACCGGCTCGGCTGGGCTGGGCTGGGCGAATCGCTTTGTGCCATTTTTGGCTCATGTTTATTATAACTTGATTTTGTTGGGCTATTTGCGCGGCGGCAGTTTCTATGTCACTCCCTCTGCACACATCGTATGCGAGTTTTTTATTGTAGCTGGATAAACGGACGTCTTGTTTGGTTTTCGCAGCGATTAACCCACTTGCCAATATGGCCAATAACTAAATATGAAATATGCAACGGCAAATGCATTAATAAACTTCACAAGACTACACTAAATAATACATCGGTAAATTCATTTCTTGTACTTACATTATTGTGAGTAATTCTGAGTTTGCTTAAATTCCATTTTCCGGAAATATAATGAATTGGTTAGACCACAGAGTGGTTAGAGAGTGATTCTGGGAATCAATAACTAATAGCTGAATGTAAGTGCTTCAGCCATGAAATTCACCAAACATATTAAATGCTATTCATTAGCTTCGGTTAGCTGAAATTTTCTTCAAAAAATATGCAAAGTAATTGATACCACAAATCATTTTTGCGCATTATAAATCAATTTTCAATTTCCAGTTTTCAGTTTTATGCCTCTCGTTGAGCGAACATATGAAAACATGCCTGCTACACGCCCGAAGACCATGAGATCATCTCTCGAGACTTTTTCTTTCAGTCAGCTACCATAGTTTATCTTTATGTACGCGGGCGAGCGCCTTAACATGGCTTTAATTATTTATTTGTATTTTCTTTATCAAGCTGAAACTTAACTTAGGCTAACAGCTACAAATTTGTGACGATATCAAATAGCTGTTTTGTCTTGGTTTTTATCGCCATTTAGATTAGCATATATGTAGGTTCATATGTTTGGCATGCAACAGTTCGGATCTCAGCTTGGCTCTGTCTCTACATATGCGGGTTAATGATCCGATCGAGATGTCGCAACAACTTGAGTCGCTGTATTGTGCTATGCAGCCGGCTATTGGCCGGCTTAGGGCCGTTTTATTTATGCAAAGCTCTTTGGAAAATATTGCCACCTTGAATGGAGGCACTTAAATTGTTAACATGCGAAACAGCCCGCCGAGCATGTGCCAAGTGTCAAACATGTTGATGCGTGTGTGTGTGTGTGTGTGCGGGCCTTTAGGAACAAAAGCGAAAACAAATAAAGTCAAATTTGCCATGCAAATCCTTTAAATCAAATAGAACAAATTGCGGGCGCTTGGCCTTAATAAAAAGTAAAAACGGGGAACAATAAACGTTGACAAGGCGTCGAGCGGAATGACAGCGCGCTTTTGTTTTTTTTTTTCGGCACCCCTCACGTCGCGCTTAGCTTAGCCCCAGCCCCAAAAAGATGCTCACCCTCGCAAGCAGCTGTTGCTTTTGCTGGTGGGGAAAAGTACAATAAATTGGAAAATATAAAATCAACAGAGCTAATAGTTCACTTAGGGGCAACAACTCATCGCCGCAGACGTCGGCATAGGGTGGGGCTGCTTGGCTTGACATAGTGGCACACATTTGCCTGCCACCTCCCCCACCTACATATAGATACGCACTCACACACACACACACGTACACACTCACACCCGGCATGGCCAACGTGGTCCGGAGCCCTTTCATATGGCCCGTAGTCACATTGAGCCGATTTACTATTGAAAATAAAATTTTATTTGATTTTCTTTTTGCTCGCCTTTGCCATTGCCTCTTGCCACATTTGACAGTCTTCTTCTTCTTCTTCTGCGTGTGCCTCTGCCCCTGCTTCTGCTTCTGCTTCTTGCTCGTCAGTGCCTGACGACTTTTGGATTTGATGTGAAAGTGCGTAGCTTTTTACGACTTTCAGTTTCCGATTTGTTTCCATTTCAATCTATATATATATATATATATATATATATATGTGCTTAGGGCGCCTCGGAAACATATATTTTGATTTTGATTTCGATTTCGAGCAGTTTGTTTCTGATTTTCAATCAAATTTGTCTGCATATTAGTTTGACGCTTCGCATATGGCTCAGCGTAAATCAAATGCATTAAAAATGCACGCACAGGGAATCAGAAATTTACGAGTGTGAAATTTGATTACGGTTTCCGCTGTTGGCAATACAGCTAACGCGCATCTTTATTATACCATTGCTGGGATCGGCCACGCCTCCGCGGCTGAGGCGACCGAGTGCTGTGTACCGTATAGGTTAGGCCCTACTAATCGGCGTTACGTGCGTTCCATTTCAAGCACTCTTCGCACTGTCATTCGAATTATGTTTTGACAGCCAGCGTATAGGCAATTTCGGCGCCTCAGGCATGGGGGCGGCCAGACAGACACAGAGACAGACACACAGACAGAATGCATGTCAAGGCGGCCCCAGCCTCGCCTGTGTACTGCATAAATGTTGCCTCATTATAAGAATAATTCAGCTATAGAACTTTTTCAACTTTTCGGTGGTCTCCGCCAACTGTCAACATTTAACAGTTCAACACTCGATTAAAATTCATAAGATGCTTGTCTTGAGAGTGTCGAATTTCCACGTATTCATTTATATCTTTTTTAGAGAAATAAAGATATCAATGAGATATATACTTACACAACAGCCACATCAGTTCTGGCTATTTGGTTTAGTTGTATAAATTATTTTGACGTTCGGTTTTAAGGGTCAATTAAATGAATTTGTCACTTCGGTATATCTTTGACTGATTGGAGACATGTTGAACATTCCAGAATTGCCATCATCAAAATGTTATAAACACAAATGTGCTCTTAATTAATAGAAGAAAACACTTTTCTTTGCCGCTCACGCAATTGACAGTCATTTGCATAGGCAAATGTAGTTTTTCTGTCTCTTTCTCTCTCATGTAGGGCATGGGCGCTCGTGCGTCGTGAGTGACTGCTGTGTGCTTTTATAGGGTATTTAGTTTGCCTCGCTTGTCATGTCGTGTGCGGCGCTAAACTTGATAAATATTAATTGTTTGCCTCTGTCCAGAGAGACAATTTGAGGTCAGCGCGATGTGGAGCCCATTAATTGCATTAGATTATGCATCGCGAAGGGTTTGGGAACCAGACCGAATTAGATAGCCGCCAAGCGCATGCTTCAAGTGTGTTGACAATATGAATTTGAATATTAACTGCTGTTGTTGTTGTTGTTTGGGAATGTGTAATTAAACAAATGAGCCCAGCCCACTTCGATGATTTATGAAGTGGCCAATAACAATTTTATTTGGCTGCTCAGTTGACAAATTTTGTTTATGGGCAATTGGTTGCTCGATCTCTGACATTTCCACATGCTTACATTTACATGAACTCCCCAGCCAGCTGCCAGCTGCCAGCTGGGTGTGTCTATCAAAGCTCGTCGCCCAAATCTAAGCTTAGGCAATATAAATAACGATCTCACAATTCGGCGATCAGCACCACATCTAATTGTCGTTAATCTTGACTTGAATGAGCCATTGTCTGGCATATGGTCCGCATGTATGCATGTAAAACTTGTCTCGTGTGCAGCAGTGACGCATTAACTTGTTTGCCTAAGAGAGACCACAAAATTGTGTGGCTTCTAGCTGGATGCCTGCGGTTGCAGGCCGCCGGTGGTGCTGTGCGCACAGGTGTGGTTGACGGTGAGGCATCGTCCACCCACAATGCCTAATTGCAAGCAAGTCTGCAGACCCGCAACGGAGCACGTGACCGCTCCGGGGGGTCTCCACTGTGAGTTAACGGTCTCGCATTACCAATGATTGCGGCCGGTAGATGAAGTGTCTGTGGTTGCTGCTTAAATTCGTCGCACAGGTGTAGCCACGTCACTAAAAAGTTTGTATTTTTGTTGTTGTTACACTATAATCTGTGGACTATCTAAGAAGGGAAGTGATTTTAAGCATGTTTAATTATATGAGAACATTGCCTTTTAATTGATAGTTGACATATGTATAATTACATTATAAAATATAAATATACTATATTTAACAATCACATTTATCTATTATCTTTCCTTTGCAGCATTTAATCTGTATAAAATGCGTTCCCTTTCGTACGTCGTGGGGCTCGTGCTGCTGTGCCTGGTTCCGGCTCATGAATCCCTCGAACTGGTGGGCCAATCCATTAAAGGTGAGCGTGTTTACCAATGTCGTAATGCTTTGTTATATTTGCTTTGCGTATGGCTTCTCAATGGTGCAGTTAAGCCTAATTGTTTGTTTGTTGTCAACAACAATCTGTGTAAATAGTAGTCAACAAATGGAAATTGTGAAAATTCATTGCACGCTTTTCAGCTGTTGCAAAAAATAATTCACGTAGATTAATTTCGTTGCATACTTTTGGGCATTACTTAGATGTGGTGAGACTTATTCCATTCTTCTTTTATTTTCCCTATACCATCAGACGAAATGGGTGAACATATGCTTACGGATATCATGTACGACAATCAGTACACGGGCATAGACTTTGTCAGCGCAGACGACGGTTACCCGGCCTTCAAGCTACTGGCGACGGCAAATGTGAAGTCCCCATCGACGCTGATGCTGCCGGAGAAGCTCTACGAATTTGCCATACTGGTCAAATATCGCCTGAACTCGCTGAAGGGCGGCTATCTATTCAGCGTAGTCGACTCGCAGGAGACGGTGCTGCAGCTTGGCGTCCATCTGTCGCCGGTTGTCAAGAACAGCTACAATGTGACGCTCGTTTATGGGCAGCCCGACGTTCCGGCGGGTCGGAAACTGGCCACTTTTCCGGTTCCCAACGTGCCGGACAAATGGAATTCGATTGCATTCCAGGTGTACAGTAACAATGTGACTTTCTATTATGACTGCGTACTGCAGAACGCCACGGAGGTGGTGCGGGATCCGTTCGAGCTGTCGTTCAATAAGACCGCGGTGCTCTTCATCGGCCAGGCAGGTTCCGTGTTCCATGGCCACTTCGAGGTAAGTTCTGGCGGCGGCCAATTTGCTTTCATCTAATAATTATTGCAACAGCAGACGCCAAACGGCAGCACACATGTCTATTTAATGCAACAGGGCTACCAATTAGGTAATGGGTAATAATTTGGGTGAAGGTTTCTTAAAACTCAAAGAGCAACCCATCAACGCATCACCGTGCCATATGTCTTCCTCATACCCCAATTGATGCGTACTCGAAATCTTGTGCAATGAACTATGCGTACTCGTAATAAAACGCGTGAGTACTCATTCAATTGTCTGCAAGTGGCCGCTTGAGCCATTCAAACGTTCAACCACCAACGCGTTGTCTGTTGAAAACGAATATAGCTGGCGAGCTTTTCAACACACCTGACGGCAGACATTCTCACCACGGCACCCTTGTAGGGCGCCAATTTACCATGCAGCGGCCAATTTTGGCGAACAACTCAGACTCGGCACTCGACACTCAGTTGGCTTCACTCAGTTCGCGCAGATTCGCTCAGCCGAAAGGTGCTCAAACTCATATTACGTATACGCCGAGTTTAGCTCAAGGCTCACGGCACGCTCTCAGAGTTATTCAGCGCCGTGCGGACGAAGTGTTGGCCAGCACGAGTGAAACTGCGTTGTCTAAGGCACGAGCTGAGCGGCATCTAGTTGGCCCTGTGTGTGTGTGTCCTTGTGTGCGCCATGTTGCTGTGATTTGGCTTACGCTGGGCCTGGCCGAGACGAGTGCGTTTACCTTTCAGTCGCGTTCGGTGCCGCAAACAGTTAACATGTGCGTACGGCAAAGACGACATAGCATTTATATATCCATACTGCCACAGAGCGCTGAAGTCGCACTCTGACTCGGTCGTACACGTCGTACACGTTGTCGTTGCTGTTGTCGTCCTCATACTCAGCCACAGCGGCTCGGCGCTGTCGTCGTATCGTGAGGCGTAAGCGGCTATGTGTGAGCCAGGCGTAAATGAAGCCATTGTGCGAGTTTAGCCGCAAAAAACGAAAGTGATTTATGCCTAAATGAAATATGTTTGCATAATATTCAAGTGAACCGAAACGTGTATAGCGTAATGTGAGCCCCAACCAGGCAGCCCAGCCCCCACGGAGTCGAGTCAATTAAAATTCAATTATGCGTTCAAAGATGATGGAAAGATGGCGCAAACGTTTGAAATTGCGGCCACTCACCTAGCTGCCAATTCCATTGCTATTGGTAGTATCAGTGTCAGTAACAGTGACAGTAACAGTAACAGTAATAGTAACAGTAATCGTAACAGTAACAGTAGCAGTAACAATAACTGTCACAGCAACAATTACAATCACAATCGCAGTCACAGTGCTCGCCAAGAACATATCAAGCTAAACACATCACATATCACACCACAATCCTGGCCACATTCGTGCCGGTGATTGTTGCGCGTGTCGTTTGCATATCGCGTGCAGTGGACTAAACTTCTGGCCAGATTTGCTGCAAAATTAATAAACGTGATGGTCGAGTATTACCTATAGCGCTCAAATTATCCAACATATCCAAAGGCAGCCCCCAGCTAGCTCCCTCGTGATCGCCGCGTAAATAAAGAGTTCGGTAGTAGCAAAAAGAGAAGAGAAGCAACCAAACAGAGAAAACACAAATTTGTTTGCCCGCTGAGCAAATATTTACAATTAGTTTGGCTGGCAGGCTCGCGGCTTTTCTGCTCCTGTTGCAGTTGTTGTTGTTATCCTTGTTGTTGTTCTTGTTATTTTGTTTGCCCCTTGCTGCGGGGCGCCTCTTCGTGTCCGTCGCCGGGTCGAGCGTGTGAAATTTTCGAAAACTTTTCGTGTGGAGCTGAAACTCGAACCGGTTCGACTAAAAGATGAACATTTTCAAACTCGCAACTTTTCGCTATCGCCACTGCCACTGCCAGTGCCACTGCCTAGATCCCATCGCCATCGCCATCGCCCCCGCGGCCAACGTCAGAGAATTTGTTCAAATGAAAATCAATCAATTGCACAACGTAAAAATGCATGTGGTGTGAAAACGAGAAAAATTGATTGCGCGCAGCGGGAGCCAACGGCTGGTTGTCCAGTTAACAAACGCCAGTCGCCGCAACTGTTGAACACAGACACCGAAACGCATTCGGTAATTCGTATTTGTATTTTGTTTATATAAAAAACAGTAAACAAATAATAAAAAACCAAAAAATGCCCGCTGTCATTTGTAATTACAAATGATTTTCAACTTGAACGCAATAAAAGAAAGAAAAACAAATTCGCGAAGTGTGAAACAAAAATAATAATAATTTTAAAAAAGTAAACAGTTTTGGTATTGGTTTTTTTTTTTTTAATAACTACTTGTAATTAAATTATCTGTGATTTTGTCAACATATTCAATATTATCAACGCGTACATATTTACGAAACGAAAACATAAACATATTCATAAATACATTGCCGCGTTCATATCGTTTAGTTAAAGCTGACTTTTAACTCGCTCGGCCCAAAGGTAAATACATGCATAAATTAATATATAATATATGTATGCATATACATACGTATGTATGTATGTATGTATGTATGTGCATATATATAGGAAGCACTCCGCTGGCATTAGTGGTACAATGGGCCACACAAATGGTTTGAATGTCGCAGGCTGTCGCCTATCAAATTGAGCATTGGCTGCGCATAAATTATGACAGGCTAGAGGCAGGGGTATGGATGGTAGGGGCAGGACGACGTGGACGGGAGGAGTAGGAGGCGTAGGCGTAGGCGGAGGCAGCGGCTTACCATATTGGCTGAGCCTTATTCGCGTTGGCCCAAATCAAAGGCAAACTCATTAAGGCAACCTACTGCAACAACAACCATGAATAACCAGCGCGCACACTAACACACTCACACATATGCATATTAAAAGAGCGCTGGATGTGTGGCTGTGTGTGTGTGTGTGCGTATGCGTATAATATTCTGTATACGTAGATTTTTGCTCGCTCGCTCACTCGACTGCCAGCCTTTGCCTTTGTCTTTGGTGTTCCGGCGCTCCGGCCGCTAGGCAAAGGAATATACATTTTATTTATTAAATAAAAGGCCTTTTAAATGTCTACATTGTTACAAAAGATATTTTCTTTTACTTACTCTGGCCTTTGGCCTCTGCCACTCAGGCATAAGGTTAACAGCTGCACAAAAGATAAGCCAAGCTATTGATGACATCGCGCCACTCCCCCTGTCTATATATGTATGTAGGCCACATGTTAAATATTTCAAACATGGCTGAGTAATTTCTCGACCACATCGCCGAACTCCACTACTCTTGTGGCTACCAACGGCTCTGCCTTTAATTGTGGCCTCACGCATGCACGTCCTCGTTTTCACAAAAAAAAAAAAAAGTCAATTGAAATTCGAATTTTGAGAATTTTCTGCTTTTGGTGTGCAGCCAGTGCGTGCATTTAATTAAATGGTATAACGCATTTGACATATAAAATGCCAACAACAACAATATCAACAGCAACAACAGCTGGAATCGTAACAAAATTCAGGACTTTAAATACCATATAAATTGGGTTGCCCTGTGGGGCTTAGTTCGGGCCATGTTGAAGAGTGGCAACAAGCTTGAATACATAAATATGTATGTAGTCATAAATTATCATAGTTTCTCCATCTCTCTGTCTCCCTCTCTCACTCTTTCTCACACAGTCTCTCTCTCTCTCTCTCTCCCTCTCTCTCTGTGTGACGAACATTTAAATATCAGAATTTGATTGTGTGTTCAGCTGGCTTTATTTGTTGGCGTAGTTTGTTAACACCGTCTGCTTACATGTTTGCCCCTTGGAGCGGGCTTTATTTTCCGTAATATGTAATTTTGATTTGCAAATTTATCAATTTAGCATCATAATATAATATTTTGACCCGTTCTGTTGACACAATTTAAAATTCAATTTCAAATGTTTATTTACACATTCAGCCAAATTGCCGCCCACAATAAGTTGTTTTCTATTAACCGCGATTGTGTTTTCAAATTAGTTTTCACTAAGCCATTGTCTACAAATATAAATATGTGAACAGAAGCAAATCCACAAATTTAAATTTTATATACATATACATACATATATATGCTAATAATCTACAGAAAAGTGCATTTGAAATGTGAGCGCCGTTCTATGCGATTTTCAACGCTTTAAAGTGGGTTTGCTTCCGTTAACTAAAACGTTTCGCTTGAGTAATTCAACGGAATAACTTTCGGTTCTCACGCTTTAGCTCCTCCTTCTGCTTTCCTTCTCCTTTTTTGCTGAAGCCCTTTAGTTTAGTTTGTTTTCAGACTGGACTTTCATGATATTTTCAAATATTATTTTTGCTTTCATGTGGATTTTTTAAAGTTGATTCTCACTTTCATTGCGCTAGTCCGGACGTGTTGAAGAGATTAACTTGCCCCGAGTTTTTTTGTATGCAAGAATGTACGTTTTATTGCTGATAAGGATGCAGCTCGTTAAATTTAAATACAATGCTTATTTTATGGCCAGCTCTGTGATTTGTGGGTCGAATTACGCACCGTGAGGAAATGGTCAGCCAACTAAAAAGTGCTTCCATGAGAAATTTAAACCAATCAAAAAGTCAGGAAAATAAACTATTTTATGATTTTATGGCAGCTGCCCGATTGGGGCCTTTAAGCAAGGGAACTGGCAGCCGTTGCCGAAACCTGGCACCAATAAAGATAAATTATGCAAACGTTGGACTTTAATTATACGACTAGTGAAGCGTTTAACGCCCCATCCGCCCACTTGTTATAAAGGCAGGGAAATGCGCTCGACTAGTTGGCTCCTTATTAATTTAAGCAGCTCTTTATGCGCCCGATGGAGCATTCGAGCATTGGAGCGTCCACGCATACACACACAGAGAGAGAGAGAGAGAGAGAGAGAGAAACACATACGCATTTACACACACGCCCAGTGACACATTGAGTCACATGTGGAATGGGGTTTGGGGGGCAATTGTCAAACAGTAGGCAAAGGAGCTGCTATCGATCAAACTTGCCCAAGTCGAGTCAAGTCAAGTCAAGCCTGGCCTGTGCCAAGGGGCTGGGGCTGGGGCTGCTTAGACATTCCTTCTGGTGACATTTTATTGTGCTTGCTTCTTATTAAGGATGCATGTGTGACACATGTTTAACCCCTGCTCAGTTGGAACATCAGTTAGTCATTGTTACTTGTGCTTTGAATCAGACAAAGGCATGCCAAATGAAATTATCTAAAGCGGAAGTGTGTGTGTGTGTGTGTGTGTGTGTGAGTGTGTATGTGTGTACGTCAACTGTTTATTAAAAATAACATGTCAAAATGTAGAAAAGAAAATCGTACAGCGATGAATAGACATAAACACACACATATGTCACTTATATGTGCGTGTGTGTGTGTGTGTGTGTGTGTGGGTAAGGTTAGCCTTTTTAAACATGTCAGCCCATTATCTTCATTAGGCGTTAACGTTTTGGCTAACAAACCGTAACCGAAGCCCAAACACAAACCAAAACGTAAAAGTAAACGTAAAGGCTCTGCACCGCACATCCCTTTGTGCAGTATTATTATTTTTGGCTAAATAATGCATTCAACGGCTTACGATTCGGCTGCCATGACAACTTCAAAAGTCATTACTCATTTTAGCGTACTTAATTTGCAAGTAGATATGAAATTCTTTATCGGCCGCCAACCACAGCCCCGCAGGCAGCTCCCGTTTTTGTTTTTCTGGTTTTTCTTTCAGTGCTTTTTTTTTTCGTTTGTTTGTACGGCACAAGTTTTGCCCCTTTTCATTACGCGGCCAAAAACGCAGCCGAAAAAGTCCAAGTAGGTAATTTCATTAGGAAACTTGAGCCGTGTCAAACTTTAAGCTTAAACTGCTACGCCTGCTCCCGAGCTCGAGCGCTGAGGCAGCAACAGCAGCAGCAGCCGTAGAATTTTAATGCCGCGTGAAGAGCGCTACTGAGGCGAGCATAGGGCAGAGGGCTGGGGGAAGGGCGTAGGCTAAGGCAAAGGCAAACGCAAAAGGAAAAGCAAAGGCAGCTCCACTCTCGAGACTCGACTCTTGGGCGCATAAAAAAAGTTTCCTTTTGACTTTCTTTTTTGGGCACACACAAAAAAGTTTGTTTTACACCACTGACTCAACCGTTGACTCAATAACTGCCTGTCGTTTTAGAGTGGGTGTGTTCAGGTGTGCAGGTGTGCGGGCTTGGCTGGGCCGGCAGGTGAGCGCGTCTGTTTGTTTGGACCGCGCTGCTGCTGCTGCTGCTGCTGCTGCGGCGGCGGCTGCTGGTGTTGCCACTGGTAGACAGACACGATTATCGTAATTATGCGCTGACTGTAGCATACTTTTGTGCGCGCTGAGCCCAGCGCTTAACTGCTCGCTCAATGAGCGCGTGTGGGTGTGTTTGTGTGTGTGTGTGTTAAAGGATACTTTTGTGTGTGTTGTGCGCCAACTTTTACCGCAATTATGTAGGTTGCAAAGTTGGCGCTCGTTTTTTATTTCATTTTCGGGGCGCTCAAGGACACGCCTGCAGCCCCATCGCATTCGGCATTCGCCTTTCGCCTTTCGCCCACCACTGGCATTCGGCTTATGCCTTTATGCGCTCTAAATAAAAGCCGAGACATCTTTAGCATGCGGCCAAATCTAGGCAACGCATTTTGTAGCTCGACTCTTACGCATTTCGCTTGCCATGACGTGGCTATAATTCAATATTTTCGCAAATAAACTTGTTGGCAGCTTAACTTTTCATAAAGTTTCACTTTTTTTTGTATATATATTGTTGGCTTTTATTTTTTTTAGCCATCCCTTTGGTAGCGAGAATCGGTAAGAAAATGCTGACAAGCGGGCATAGCAAAATTAGAGTGAGAGAGAGGGAGACATATGTATATACAGAGCAAGAGAAAGAGAGACAGAGAAATTAAATAAAACGTGTTACATTTGTTGCGCTCAGAGGAAATGCCAGTTGCGAGAGCCTGAGAAAAGGCTGATATGGGCATTTGAGAGGCGCGCGTGTTTGCTGCAAAAAAAAAAAAATAAATAAATAAAAGCTTGGCAAGGCAAGGTTAATACGTGCCACAAAAGCCATTAGGTAGCCCTTAGAGGCTCCGCAGTCGACGGCAGCAAAGGCAGCAGCCACCCAAGGGTCAAATACATTCAAGCCGAGAACAACGCATTCAAACCATTTGTATGTGGCCCGACCAGCAGCAACAATAACAAGCCACATCCAATTAATATGCCAATTCATACATCTTTCTTTGTTCCAGGCAATCGAGTGTGTGTGCGTGTACGTGTGCGTGTGTGTGTGCTATAGCCGAGTTGATTTCTAGTGCTAAGTGTTAAAGTGTTACCGTTTTGAGCGTGTGAGTGTGTGTATATATCCAAATTGAAAACATGGCTATGGTCATTTCGACGCGCGCGAAACTCGTCATAACCGCGTTAATACTCTTCTTCCTGCTCGGCATTGTCCTCGTGACGGGCTCGACGAAGGGCTGGTTCAACCCCAATCGCTTCAACGGCGAGCGTGTGGCAGCCAGGATACAGGTAACTAAACATTAAACAACAACCAAATAGAATAATCAACAAGTTTTGGGTCTGTTCTTCATATCAAATGGCATATCATCAACTTTAAAAACTCGCCAATTAATTATAATTACGAGTCTCTCGACAACAACGAGGCTTGTGGCTGCAATTTATGAGTTTTAGTTTCAGCTTTCGGTTCTCATATGTAGTTTCAGTTTTAGTTTTAGCTTTAGTCGTTGTCATAGTAGCAGCTGCTAAACTGTGTAATTTGTAATACGTAATACGTGTAATGTGTAATTTGTAATGCTAAATGCTTCATTTCCTGCTCCTGCTACTTGAAATGCAAACAAATGTCTCCAGTGCGTGGGAGGCGGGGGGCGCGTGGGTCGCGGTTCATGCGACCCCAACACGCACACACCACACACCACACACATCGCCAACAGGAGGCCACAAAATGCTTAGACTTGCTTTTAAATACCCTAGCAGCAAATAAAATATATAAAAAAAAAAAAAAAAAAAACTCGAATACATTTCTACACTACACGAAAGCAAATAGAGTTTATTGTGACAAATGTTTCATGACAGCAAACCATTTTGTTGCTGTCCACATGTGTCATATGTTTGAGAATGCTGACTGTCTCTGTGTGTGTGTGTGCTGGGGCCAAACGCACACGACTTGACTTGACCAGGTGAGTGTATATCATGTCACTGCATGTCGTGTGTCCGAGTGTGTGTAAAGGGTATAAATTAAAAAGAAACTATTGTAATTATCAGAAAGCCTTAGAGACGCTTGCTCTGCGCTCTGCCGTTTGACAGAAGATAAAGTGGCAAAACTGTCAAGGGTGTTGTTAGCTGAAAACAAGACGGTTTCAAAATATATATGAGCCCTTAGCTAAGTATAGCATCAGTTTTTAGCAAGCTAAATTTACTAAACTGAAATTGTGGCTTTTATATATAAAATACCTGTTTCAGTCAATAAACATTCAGTTCTAAATATAATTTGAAATCCGAAAATACTTTACCTGCTGGGCACATCACACGTAAATGTGTTTGCTTTAAGTTTTACAGTGCGTATACGTAATACGAGCTCTCAACTGTTTTGCGGACTCTGATTAGTATCTCCGTTAGTGTGAGTGAGCGCGCGTGTGTGTGAAGATTAACAGGCGGATTGCTGTTACACACAAAAGCCACTCGAGTGCTACTTTAATGACCTCCCATCGCAGGCTAATGTGTGAGTGTGTGTGTGTTGCCACGCTAAAAATTTGATACTTTGCCCAAATTCAGCTGGATTATGATTTTAATGGAAATAAAATTATTTACATTTTTAGATAAAATCTAAAGTGCCTAGAATTGAAGCCTTTACCAGTTGAGTCGAATATAATACGCACAGCAGTTAAGCCAGATCGGTGGCGATATTGTTTTTACACCAGTTCTGTATTGGCTGGGGTGTAAGGGTGGGCATGCCCCCATTCGATGCGGACACCGCCCGTTGTTTACACCTCTTGGCAGGTAACAAAGAAACTGAATCAACGCCGTCGCGTCGTCTGCTAATACCTGCATAATTGTTGTGCTAATTTCGCCAGCACGCCCAGTTAATGTTTCTATTGACACCCGACTGCGGCCCCGGCCCCCTGCCCTGGCCACGGGTGCTGTTTGCCGAGACCGGTCATTTAGGTAGTTACAGTAAACTACTGCTACAGTGTGCACTGCTTTGACATTGTTTACGCTTACTTATGGGCTTGGCTGCCTTTGCCGTGGACGGGCGAGCGACAGACGGCGTGGTCTGCATGGTGATTAAACTAATTTAATGCAGCTACAAGCCGCAACAGCAAGCTAGGCAAGGCAAGGCGGGGCAGTTGGGGGCGAAAGAAAAAGCATTTAAAACATTCAAAGTGTCGCATGAGAAGGACGCTCAAGTCGCAGCCAAGCGACAGCCGTTAACGAGCTGACTTCGATAGACGTTAGCGTTGCCCTGCCCCTGCCCGTGTCCCTGACCCTAGCTCGTTTTCACTTGCTGCAGACGAATGTGTGGCACAGTAGCAACTGCCAAGTGGCGAAAAAAAATAAGAGAACAGCAACAACAACAAAAATAGAACGAAACAAAGTTTAGCAATAAAAATCTAAATAAAAGCCCGAGTACTGCCAGCGACACGGCGCGGCTGCTAATAAAGTCATTGCTGCATGCTGCCAGAATGGTGTCCCTCCCTCCAACCACCCTCACCCACACCCGCACCCTCATTCTCACTCTCACTCTGACCCTGCCAATGGGCACGCTAAGGGGCGTCGTCTGTGAGTTCATTAGCAGCAGCTAACCTTACAAAGCCTTAGCCCGTCTCAGCTGCCGTTCCTGTTGTTGTTGCTGCTGTTGTTGTTGTTGTTGTTCCCCTAGTTTTTCGCACAGTTGCCACAGCCGCTGTTAATTATAGCTGAAACTCGAGGTGAGCGCGCCGCGAGGCGTCTCCACGGCAAGCGGATGAGGTGGGTAGGGGCTAGCGTGCACCGTCCCTTACTGGAAATTTATAAAAGTTACACGTAGATTGACAGGCAATTTGTTATTGTATTATATTGAGGCGGTTATTTGGCTGCCGCAACTAGCTCTATTGACTGAGTGTAAATGCTAGCGAGTGGCTGCACGTGTGTGTGTGTGTGTGTGTGTGTGTGTGTGTGTGCGCGTGTGTGTGTGGGGGCTTTATACGTGTGTGGTCTGCGGTTTAGCTGTGTGGCTTTTGCAGCAGTGAGAGCAATAACAACCACTATTACTACAGCAAGCGGCAACAACAACAACTGCAGCAGCAACAACAACAACAACAACAGCAACTACAACAACAACAGGTCCTGTTCGTATTCATTAGTGGGCAATTAACCAAAAGCGAATTCTATCCAAAAAGGCAATTATTGTAAATGCGTCGAATTAGACTTGACTCTTCAACACTAGCCTGACAGTTGGGCACATATACACACACACATACATGCATGTATATATATGTATATGTATTGACCGCTATTAGCAGTAACCCAATGCAGGTGCTGCGCAACAACAACAACAACAACACACATTATGGAACTTGACCAATTGGTGGTTATTGAATCTAATTGCTATCGCACAAGTTCATAATTCACACGAGCCCTAGCACTAGATTGGCTTTTAGGGCTCGACTATGTAATACCCTGTGACATTTTATCACGATAACTCCAGAGAGACGCGTGTTTTCGCAAAGTGAGCAGAGTCACGCAACTTCGGGAGCCTTCGTATCGCAACGCGGCCGTAATCCACGCTGAACTGCAACCGGAAATAGCTGCAAGTCCGACAACACAATTTTCCATTAAAATCAAAACGTTGTTCTTAAAATCCGAAACGAGTTGCATTTGAATACTGTCTGATAAGATCAGCAAGGCATGCCCAGGAATGGCATGAGCTCGGAATGTTTTCATAATTTGTTAACGAATTCCAACTAATTATAGTTATAGAACTTAATTAATGCAAAATTAAGTCATCTATGTAGGGTAGCATTTGGCTGGGCAAGGCTGACCAGCGTCATCTTACATTTGTGTATTGTGTATTTCTTATTAGTTTAGGCAAAATAATTGATTGATTACGGGCGGAGAGTTAGGTCAACCGTTATGTCAGCACAAAAAGATTTCATGCCACAGCGATTCGTCGAGTATTTGTACTTCATTTTGTGTATTTCGTTTTCAGTTTCAGTTTCGTATTCGTTTTCGTTCTCAGTCCTGTTCTGGTTTTTCGTGTACAATTTGTAGTGAACAAAGGAACTGGGACAAATAAAATGTAATGTCATCGAGATAAGTAGCATGCTCCACACAAGGGGATTGTAAAGTATCCAAACTCGATATAGATGAGCATAACTATATTAGCCTGCTACGCAATCTCTTCACATACCTCGCTCTCTCTATCTCTCTCTCTCTCTCCTGCCAATCCACACTCTCGGTTGAGTAATAAAAAACTCACGCAAACATATTCCATTAGATTTGCTGGGGCATCGCGTCGCAAGTTATATATATTTATGAATGTAGTCGCAGTCGTTCGGCTATCCCGCAGCTGGCAATAAATAATGAAAGTCTCAAAATGTGTGCCCCACTGAAACAACAGGGCCAGCAGGGGCAGCAGGGGCAGCGCAGGTGCGGGCTGGGGGCCATGGGATACTCGAGCAAAAGTAAAGAAAAGAGTTGGCCCCCGAAGTAAACAGCACAGAACTTTGGCATGTTGCAAGTGGAGTGTGGAATGTGGCAAGTAGAAAGTAGCTGGCGCCAACATTCCGGCTCGTGCGCACATATTTGTGAATAAACATATGAAAAACTATCTTCTGTTACGTTTATGATAATATTTTATTTAAGCAGGAGTCTCAGGAGCAGCGGGGGTACGCCGGTCGCTCTGTTGCATAAAGGTTAACGTCAGAGATAGAAAACAAAGTGATAGGTTACGCACATACACACACACACACATGCAGACACACACAGCTACACCCACTTATTACCAGGCACGCCCCGCCAAACATTTGTCTATTATATATTTATTGTGCCACGCACTTCCCCTCCCCCTTGCCGCCTGCCTACCATTCAATGTGACATGGCCCGCGGTCACAGTCGCAGCTGTTGCTGCCCTCGCGGAGACACTTGATGGCATAGATAGCGCAACTTTGCAGAAGCTGCGCTGACTTTTGCGGCTTGGCTGTGATAGGCACAACAAAGTTTTCTGTCAGCTGTGGCCCGCCCTGCGCCTGGCCGCTCTTCGAGTTCGAACCAAACTTGTTGCATTGACAGGCAACTTGGAGTGCCAGTTGCGATGTCGATTTGCTGCCACCGTGCGCAGCATGTCAGAGATAAGAGCATGTTGCAAGTGAACTTTTGTGAGCACAGTGAGTGGGTGAGTGGTGGGGGGAACGAAGGGAATCACAGGATGTGACTCGAGTGGTTATTTTTGCAAATTGCATGTTACCCAAAGAGCAGTCGGTAAGCGTGCTGACAAGCTGCAACTTCAGCAAACATCTAGCAAGAGACAGCAGGCATGAGGCAGCAGGCAGCAGGCAGCAGGCGGGAGGCACCACGCACATTGCATCCCCTGCTCAACCTGGCCACAATATAAATAGCACTGATTTGTGCTCACACAAATGCGAGCGAGACTCGTACGGGTCTTCTGCTATCTGTAACCGACTGCGTCGACTTGCTGGCAGCCCAAAAGTTAAGCCCAACCAACCATTCAACCCATTTGTTTATTATGAAAATACAGGCGGTCGGTGTGGGGGCGGCTGGATGTGTGCTTTGCCGCCACTGCTGCTGCTGCTGCTGTCGGTACTGCTGCTGTTGCTGCCCACAAAAACCTTAAACTGATGACACACTTCACGTGGAGGTTTTTCGCCTCTGGCCCGCTCAGCGTTCAGTGCTGAGCGCTCAACGCTCCACGCTCAGCGCTCAACTGCTGCTGCTCGACTCTCTGCTGCTGTTGTTGCTGCATTTCCGCCTGAATGGCGTTTGTGCTTGAAGCAACTAACTGCCTGGGATGGAGTGAGGCAGAGATTGGTGGTGGGGATGGAACTGTGGCTGTTTGTAGCTATCACAAGTGTGTCACCGAGCGAGAGGCCCAGCCACGTATCAGTATGTCTGTGTGTGTGTGTGTGTGTGCGTCGTACTTAACGTTTTAAAACTCTACTCCGTACATGGCACACTATATTGACTTTGAAGCATAAAAAGCTTTTCTGGATACTCCAATTCACAAGGGGGTGGACTCTTTATTACAACCCTCTCAAATGAAGCCTTCATGTGCATATGCATGTGACATGTGTGTGTGTTTTTTTTCTGTCTGACTCTGAGTGTGTGTGTGTGTGTGTGTGTGTGTGTGTGTGTGTGCTTGTGCACTTGAGTGTGTACGTTTTGGTTGGCTCGGACGAACTAGAACAAAGAAACGGGCTAATAACATCCAGCGAACAAAACGAGACAGCTTATGTGGATATCTTCTTAGCTGGGGAAATGACAGAGATGTCCTGTTGATCTGACGAATTCCATTCAGACTCGAATAAATTACAAAAGTCCTGGACAAAGCTCTTCAAACTAATCATACGGCCGTGCAGCTCGGTAAAGCTGCGCTCATCGAAGACTTTCAGGCGTATGCGATCCTCTGTGTCCTTGGTCTCTGAAGCTCGATCGAAGTACGCTTTGCGCTGCTTCAGAAGCTTGGTGCACTGGCGACTGCAACAAGTCACAAAATTTACCATGTCCTTGATCAGGCTCTGAGCCAGGAGATAGCGGTTCAAGTTATCCTCCTTCCCCTCAGCTGGATTTGCACCGGCTACTTTCTTGGCAGATTGGTCCGGCTTGAAGTTGTCCAAAATGAAGGCTTGAAACTTGAGTCCAATGGTCTGCAGCTCATTTGTCATGCCGCGCAAGCCATTTAGAATGAGATGCATCAGACCCTGATGAATGTGTATATGAATATCTGAATACCATGTGAATCGATTACTTACATTCATTTCGGTCATGTAGTGCTTGTCTGAATAGATTCTGTAATCGGGCCACCAGTCGTCGTCCGCATCATCTTTTTCATTCGCCATCTCCTCCTCAGATACGAAACGTGTAGAGACTATTGTACACAGCGTCTCAAAACGCGGCAGCATCAGCTCTACGATAAGGCCTTTCAGCTCAGGTTTTACATACAATGGGGTGCGCTTCATGGCGCTCTTCTCGATCTGATTACTTTGGATTTTTGGGGCTGGCATTTTGAGCGAATAAATGGAAAATATATATAACTAGATGCTTTTAGAGTTGAGTGATTAACAGCTCCGACATGTATGTGAGCTTACTAAATAATACAATCGGCATAAATGAAATCAAAGTTTGATGTTACAGCTGCCTGAGTTTTTAGTACCTACTAAGGTCTTCAACTCTATACAAAATAATACAATTTTAGCATTCGTGAATAATCCATTCAATTACTATTTTTCTTTCATTTCATGTGACACAAGCTAATTCTTAATTAAATAACATATTTCAACAATGGCAAATCAAATCGAAAAACGTCCTTTGGCTGCTGTTTGATAATGTATACGCAACGTTCGCCAGCGTATCTGTATTTGCCATAGGGTTTATAAAACTGTCTGAGCGAGCACACGTGCAGGACACTAATACGCAGATAACGTGTTGGTTTATGCAAAATGCAATGTGCGTTTATGTGAATGTATGCGTACATCTGTGTGTGTGTGTGTGCATTGCTTGCTTTAAGCTAATTGTTGCTGGCGCTTTTACCAAATGCTCGACGCCATTGTTGCAGTTCCGCTTGCTGCTTCTGCTTTTTTTTTCGGCTCCCCTCCCAGCTGTTGGCATAATCCACGTAGTATATATATATGTATATATATATATATATATACATGTGAGTGTGTGTGTCTATGTGTGAGTATTCATTGTTTGTGTTTAAACCACAAACAAAAAAAAATAAAGAAGAAGAAAAAACCAACAGAGCTCGCAGTTAGTCCTCGAACTGGGATGAGCACAGATGCACAGCCAAACGGAGCGACAGAACTTGGTGACAGTTCTGCCGGGCTGTCGGGTTGCCGGGTTGCCGGGCCTGTCGAGCAGACAGTGGGGCAGTGGTGCAGCACCGGGGCCGTCTGCAAATATGTTGGTGTAACAACTTTCGAGATTTGTGTCAGCTCGTTTGAGAATTAGTCGTAGGTTTTAGTAAAATTAAAAAAATGCTGTCACTTTGTGTGGCTGGCATTTGCCGTCTCATTGTTCTGCCTTTGCGTCTGCATATAGGCACACACACCCATACACATACACACGCACACACACACATTCACAGCCAAACACATCTCCCCATATAGACATGCCCGAATAGACTTATAAATGTGTGAAGAGATTTGGTTTTATTTCGGGCTGGGCCTGGGAGCTATCTTCAATTATTTATGCGCCGCAAAATGTGCAAAGTAATTTATTCAGATTATATGCGAGAAACAGGCAGCGAACCAAACGAAATATATAATAAAAAAAACAAAAAGGGAGCCAGCCTCGAATGAAATGAAGATGAAGCCCTTTTCAAACGGCCGCCAAGTGTCCAAAGTCAAGTGCACGAAATTAAGCTCTGCACACCTGCCGGATGCTTGACGGCATCTACCTCAACTTGGCCGTAAAATTTTATGTTGCTATAATTTAGCTTTAAAATCGCACCACACTGTCCCCGTTACCCCCACGGCCCAGCCACCACCGGCATGCGGCGGAGGCGGAGGAGGAGGGGCGTGCGGACGGACAGCACCTTGGCGCACGCACTTAAACGGAAATAAAATAAAATTACAAAAAGTGGGCAACTTTTTTTTTTTTTTTTTTTGACGTAGCGATTGTTATCCTTGCCGCTGCTGCTGCTGCTGCTGTTGTTGTTGTTGTTGTTGCTGCTCCTGTAAACGGCTGACAGAAAGTGATTTAGAAACTATGCCAATGCTGCTGCTGTTGCTTCCACGACTGGCCCGCTACAGTTATTCAGACTTGGGGTTGTGCTGCGGCGTTGGGGCATTCAGTTTGTCGGGCCGTTGGCAGCCATAAAGGTGAATTTAAATTTGGTATTTTTTGCCGGGTCGCGTTTTCATTTGTGCCGCATAAAATATGCCATTGAAATTTGCAATTGAAATTGAAATGGAAATGGAAATTGAAGTGCCTTAACAACTCTCGACTTGTAAATAAACGTTTAACTGCCACGAGTGTAATGCAGAATAAATCAATACGGCAATTGATTGCACAGCCCTCACAGTGTGCCAATATGCCAAGAATGTCAGAGTGGCGTTTACATATTTAATGCGCTCTAACTGGCTTAATCAGCATTACAAAGTAATTAGAGTTAATTTCTTTGTACCTGTACGCTTCTCATATGCCCGCTCTCTCTCTCTCTTTCTCTCTCTCTCTCTTACTGACGCACACGCACACCTGCGGCGCTAGCACACGGCATTTTTGTCTTGCGAGAATGATGCTGCGAATATTTGTAAACTGTTGCGTGGCAATTTGCATGGTTAATTATCTATTAACCTGCGCATAACTTTTATACAAGCGGATGGATGGGGGCCGGTTACCTGCTACTTGTAGATATTAACACACACACTCACACACACAGACACAGACACATGCACACACCCACACCCACACCCACACTCGTATATATACAGAGACAAACAGAGCAGCGCGCACGCAAGACAAATATGTATGTATATCCGTTTCCGCTTGCTGCTCTGTCGCAGCCATTGTCGCTGTCTCTTTCCTGTTTTTGTTATATAAGAGGCAGACAACAAGCGCCGAGAGGAAGCGGGGAATGGGGGAGCGGTATAAAAACAAGTTATGCTAATCTTAATGCGATGCCATTTTCAGTTGCCATTCACAATTTAAAGCAGTCCTTTTGTTCTGATGCCGCTGCTGGCGCTGGCGCTGGCGTCGACGTCGTCGTCGTCGTCGTCGTCGTCATGCCGCTGCATGCCGTAATTTATGCTTATTAAATATTTGTGCTTAATTAAAATTTAATTTTAACTACACAACAGCTGCCTGCAACTGGCAGCTCCCAGCCAACAACTGACAAAATGAGTCCAGGTCGGGACTCGGAACCGTCACGGATGTTGCTTGAGAAAGGGTATGCAGCGAGGCGTTTCCCCAGTTGCTCAGATTGAAACAGAATTCAAGGCCATTTTTACCTATTTATTGTGTATTAATTATACATATATTTGCGGCCTTGTGATTGATGATGGTTTGGGCTGTGATGTGCATAACTTAACTAATTTAAAAGGGAATGGGCATCCTCTCTGCTCTTTTATAAGCTTCAGTGGTCAAGGATTTAAAAAAAGTTTTGGTATTTCAACTATTTTAATGTAGATTTTTTAAGCAATATCCGATGTAAGCTGAATTTTTCAAACAACATTTTCCGGATACTGTGCGAAAACAAATACAAGGGAATACAAGCCCCTTCTAATTGAACCATTTGGGCGTAGAAGGATACTTATAATCAATTTGAACCCTTTTCGCTTAATTTTTAAGGGGCCGCAATCATCCTCAATCGATCTACATTATTGACACATTTTTGACAAATTGCCAGGCTGCATGGATTCCGTTTGCGGGCAGTGTGCTTTCATTTTTATTCAGTTTCTTTGCTGTTGTTGTTGCTGTTGTTGTTGTTGTTTTTTTTTTATATCTGAAACGTGTTTGGCATCATAGAACGAAAGGAACTACTCGCAAAAGGTTGCATACCTTTCGACCCGACTGGGGAAGCAGGTCAACGGTGTGTTATATTTGTTTGTTTTACTCTCAATGCGAACCCTTGTCAAGTGCAACCCCCGCTGCTGGCATTGCTGTCGTGCTCCTGACGTTCATTTCTGACTGCTCTTCTGGCATGTCCTTGCTCCGCTTTGGCGCCTCTGCGCCCCTGCCCAGCTCTGCTGGCCTTAATTATGTGCGGCCCAAGACAAAATCAAATGCACACGCCACTCACATGCACAGAGTCCTCTGCTCGCCGCTCCTCTCCTCCGTTTCTCTGCTGTCAAGTCTCAGCCTAGTTAATTGCTCGTGGCGCCACTTGACCGAGCTGCTGCACTGCAGCACGCTGCCTACTACCCACCTACTGCCTGCTAGTTACGTTTACGTTTACGTTCAGGTTGACAGCTTAAACTAACCGCCCGCTGCCCCACCTACGACACGACTTTACTTTCGACCGCCTCTGGGTCCATTTTTGATTATTTAAAGAGACTCGGCGACCATTGTCTGGGCTTGACCTCCCGGCTGGCCTGGCTTCCTGCCTCGGTTGCTTCTCTTGTTTATTTATTTGCCGACGCCTTTTCGTCGGTGCCTGGGCCATGTCTTTGTCCGGCTCGCTGCGTTGCCATGCACAATCTTGCAGAGAGCTTGCTTTGATGTGCTCCTATCAGAGCAGTTCATCGTGCTCGACTTGTGCGCTACAGGCCCTCAGAAAAAAGGGTTCAAATTACGAGTACTGATTTGAACTAGCTCAAAGGGTCAGCCATTGTTATCATTGCTCTTTGCTCAATTGTCACGTGGCACTTTAAAGCACGTTCCGAGGCGACTTTTGAGACATTTTCCTTTGTGCTGAATATCTCAGTTAATGGCAAATTTATTTCTTTAACGAAAGTCTGGGCAAACATTCTCATCATGTCTCATGACATTTGCTTAAGACAAGATATTTAATTGCATAGCCAGTTTTTTTTTTTTTTTCAATTTCATTTCGCAGTCCAGCTGGGAACTTAAGCTGGACCGGAAGTCTGTATGTGTATATGTGTGTGTGTGTATATATATATGGTATATGGCTGTCGATTCATTGAAATGCCTGTGGCCAGCAGGTAATTGTGAATGTCACCCCTTGGCAGGAGACGGGGATAAATGAACGGAACAAGAAATAACGACCCCACCCAAAAAATGCCACATCCAGCTACTTAATTTCCGTTTCTAGTGAATTTCTTTGCGGCTAATTTTGTTGCACAAACACAGACACATACACAGACAGAGAGAGAGAGAGAGAGAGAGAGAGAGAGGGAGAGAGAGAGCGAGAGTGGCACCGGCTTGAAAGCAGAACTGGGCCACTCACACAGAGACAGATTTGTACAAATGAGTGTGACTCTATATACACTCACACACACACACACACATACATATATAAGTACAAATGGATTTTTAGTGCTTGCCATTTTCGCTGGCCTGCCGTAATGCCCGGCGCATAGTTTTATTCAACCGCATCACAGCCCGAGCGAACTAAGAAATTATAATCAGGTGGGGCGTAGGTGACTAGGGATTGCCCTGTTTTATGAATGCGAGCAATTAGTTGACCGAGCGAGTTCTATATATAGATAACGACAGCATTAATAATGCAAATCGATATATGCCATAACGGCGGAACTATTATAGCACATATTATATAACAATGTGAAATCTCTTTGTCATAGAGTCCCTTTCAGTCTCATTTATCCAACTGCATTATACCCTGCTTTATGTGCATATTCCATGGGAGCTATAAAAATGCGAAACCCTTAATGTTGCCTCACTCAACAGTCTGCCGCCAATGGCAAAAGAGCAACAAGCTGCAGCTGCAGGAGTCGAGGCCATGCGGAATGGAGCTGAGCGGCGCTCACTTCCAATGTTTATTGGCAGCCATTTAATGCAGCGTAGTACGTGTGTGATACCGAGTACGGATGCTGCGCTGTTGTCCTGTTGTCCTCTTCTCGTGATGTCCTGTTGCCCTGCGGCCAAGCACCGTTCCGCATTTGGCCATTCAATCCTTTCGCTGTGACAGCACTCCTATGCTGTTGAGCGTTGAGCGTTGAGCATATTAAGCCATCCTGAAAGCCGATTGCACGCTTTTAACCCGAAACTCAACGACTTGCCGTCTCAGACAGAACTTTTAGCTGGGATGCATAAAAGCCGCATGGCCATTACTATCAGTTACAGTCTCTGCCAAACAACAACAACAGCAAGGATAACAACAATGACGGGATGACTGCTGCCATTGTGCTTGGCCCGCACTCGTATTGCCAGTGAGTGTTTGCTGCCATTTTTATTTGAAAGAGCCAAGAACAGGGTTCATGGCAGATGTGCATTCACTTACTTTACCTCCCAGTCTCACTCTCTCTCTCTCTCGATTTGTGCCTCTGTCTGAGGCAGTGTCTATGTCTGTGCAATAGCATCGCATTGTCCGTGGTTCATTGTCTTGTAGCTAGGTTCTCTAACGTCTGCGGTTAGCATTTCTATAGACTGCTGATAGTCCAGGCTGCGCCCCTCCATTTTCCACTCATTTTCCAGGTAAGTCTGTCCCATTGTGAACTTATGTTGTGTGTTATGGTGGCACCCCCTTTCCGCTTCGTTGTGCCGCATACTTTCGTCTGCCTCTTTAACGGAGAAATTGAGGGGGGGCGGGGGATGTGATGGGGGCAGCGCACATTAGTTGCGTGGATGGCTTGTGGCATGTGGCATGTGGCAAGTGGCAAGTGGCAAGTGCAATTTGAAATTAACATCAATAATTAATTTCGATTTGCTGCAATTACAATTGGCCCAGAACAGAGGCAGTCCGGTGCTGCATTACCAATAGGTTTCTGTGTGCATTCATTGAAATGATTCGCAAATTGATTGATTTATTATAGATATGTATATTTAACGTTGCATTAGTTGATGTGGGATTTCAATTGGGGGCAGGTATCATGTGTGCTGTGGCTGCTGCTGTTTCAATAATTATTAGAAACGCATTTTATTAATATATAAATCTGGATAATTATCCAAGCCCATCTACAAACATATCTCATGCGCAGGGCTATTTAGTACAAATCTATGTGTATGAGAATCCGGAAGGCTTTAAATTTCAATGCAAGGCCCCAGAGTTAACGACGGCCGTGCCAGTGGTAAGTCCATCATTTGCAGCTCATCATCAGGTCGCAACAGTTTAACGGCTTTATTTATTATGTATCATACACCAAAAGCAATTAAGTAACAAGTAAGAAAGCTCTAGTCGAGACTGCTCGACTACGAGATCCCCTGAACCCTTGGAGCAATAGATATTTCAATAATTTTTCGCGACTTTCAGTTTACACAAGAAACACGCACACACACACACACACACGCACGTACGCACACACAGGCATACACACGCATACAGACACACATACACACACACACGCATAAATACACAAACCCATACACACACACACATACACACACACATACACACACACATACACAAACACATACACACACAAGCAACCACGCATAAACACGCATGGGCTGCAGTGTGCGCTTACTATGAGAACTTAATTGTTTAATAACTTTTTTTATGGACGAACGATCTTCATGAAACTTTCAGATTATAATTATAACATGAATATGCATGTAATTGCCAAAGCACAAGTCTCTAGTATTTGAAATACGCTTATGACAAAAGTGAGGGTGAGGGGGTGAATTTAGAGGTGGGGGGTAAATTTTAACAAAAATCGAAATTGTATAAATTGCATATAAGCATACATTAAAAATTTGGAGACTCTAGCAATAAAGGTGTAGAAGATATAATTTTATAACTGGGTTTCGATAAGGTTTTTTATCGATAAAAAAAGATCGAGATGAGTTATCGATTTTTAATGATAAACTTGATATGCGCGCTGTAATTACGGACATTTTAAAAAAATTTGAAGTCTCTAGCTCTTATATCTTCTGAAATCGCCGCGTTCATACATACGGACAGACGGACAGACGGACAGACGGACAGACAGACGGACAGGGCCAAATCAACTCAGCTCGTCACCCTGATCAAGAATATATATACTTTGTGGGGTCTGCCACGCCTCCTTCTCCCTGTTACATACATTTCAACAAAACCATTATACCCTGATTTCCCATTGAAAATGGGTTCAGGGTATAATTAAGTACAGTAAGTCTTTGGTACGAATATTCCCAGAGTGTTCCATTTTATTCATTATTATATCAAGTTTCCCTTTCATTTGTTCATTTCATAATGTTGTAAATTGTATTTAAAATTTTTAATTTTTTTTAAATTAAGGAGGAAAATGAAATATCCACAGAGTCTGTTGCTGAAGCACCAGTTGATCCTGATCAAGAAATGGTTTGTTTTATTATTTCATTTTTGTTTCTTATGTTTTATTTTATATATTTTTTTATTGCCTTGATTTGCTTACAACTAGAACTCCCCACCTGATGAGCCCATTGTCGATGAGAATGACATTACCAGAGAGGATTTTTGGTCTATAGATAATGTGGTTAGTTGCCTGGCATATTTACATATTCCAGGCGAATTCATAATACGGTTACTTACCCAACTAAGCTAAGCAATAATCTATTTTAATCCCCCTTTAGCACTTCTATTGCGGCTGATTGCAGCTGCAGCTCGATCAGGAATTATAAACATGACAGCAAGTGCTGTGTATATATTTGCTCTAGATGCAATAGTCACTTACTACATGTCCTTGTCGCTCTCTTCTTCTTCGCAGGCAACTGACATTTTCGACGACAGTGGTATTCAGCCCAACGGACAGACGCAGCTGACGCACGAGAGACGTAAGTTCAACTGCAGCTGGACCTTGTCCGGATTTTAATTAGGCAAACGGCTAATGGAAACCATTTTGCTTTTGCTTCTATTCTATCCTCCTGCAGCATATCGTGGCATTAAGGGCGAAAAGGGTGATCGAGGACCCAAGGGCGATAGTATACGCGGTCCACCTGGGCCGCCCGGTCCGCCGGGCCCCAAAGGTGATACAGCCTCGTATCCGCCCTTTGTGGAAACACCAAGTCCGGGGGCTGTAAGTATTCAAATCAACCTAGACCGCACCGAGCTGGGGGCCCAAATATTTGCGACAGCGGAGCTGCAGTTGGATTTGAACTGAGAGACAAATGCAATGCCAACTCTGGGTGTCATCTTGCCAAATGCAAATATAAGCCCTGTCTTGGCTTAAAAGCGCTTTGGCTTAAAAGCGCTTTGGCTTAAATGACAAAACTATTCGTGTCTCGATTGCAGAAATACACTGGCGATTGTACATGTAATGCGTCTGATATCCTGGAAGCCTTCAAGGACAATGAAGCGATACGGGAAACGTTGCGCGGCCCGCCCGGTCCGCAGGGCAGAGATGGAAAGACCGGAGCCCCTGGACTTACCGTAAGTACATGCGACTACTTTAGACTTAGTTTATACAAAGGCTGCGGATTGGCCGGCCAAAATGGCAAAGGGCAATATTTGTCATGGATCTAACGCATTTTCAATTTCATTACACACATCTTCTAATCTCGATGTGAGTGAGGGAGCGGTAATAGGAGTGCGATGCTTATCGCTAGCCAGTAGCACACACACACACACACACACACACACGCACACGACTGCCAAGTCAAACATCATAATTTGTGCGTGTGTGTGCGTGTAGCCGGAAACGAGGAAAAGCGTTAACGTGAAAAAAGGAAACGAAAATTTCTTTATAAGTTTTGCGAGCAAACGGCAGGCAACTCAGGCTTAAGCACTTATCCACTTTGGCTGCCACTGGCACTCGTTATATTATCTCATCAGTTGGCTACGTCTTTCGCTATACAAGTTGTATCTATGTGAGAATACAAAGAGTCCACTCTCTCTCTCTCTCTCTCTCTCTCTCAGCCTGCTTATGTCTGTCTATCGTTGTAACTGTGTGCCAGTTAGCGCGTAGTTTATTCAGCGTACATATGTGCTCTTGTGTGCGTGTGTGCGTGTGTGTGCGGGTCAAAGGCTAAGTCCACAGTGCTACAACGAGATGTTAGCCTCAACATCCACTCAAGCCGAAAGTGCCTGTCACGGCAAAGAGCCAAAGATACTCGTAACTTTTATGGGGTTAGCCAAAAATATAAAAACCTCTCAGATACGTTCCGTCCATGTGCACATAGAGTCTCGCAGCTTTAGTCTACTCCCAGTTAACAAACAACATGCAAATGCATTTTATTTTGGCCAAGTCAGAGACAACACTCTGCCTAGTCTCTCAACAAAGACTCAACTCTCATTGACAATGTGCTTAGCAACCTGTGGAACGCAGCCTCTTCAATGCGCTGCAATATATCAAAAGAAATGCGGTATGCAAAACATTTCTGTGGCTAACAACAAGCAGCTAGGCGAATATGTCTTGCCCGAAATGTAGAGAGGCTCCAATCTGACCCTTGGGTCCCAGCCAGTCCTGTTGTCCTTGCTGCTAGTCCACCTAAAATGCTTGAGTAAAATATGGCGAACTGCTGCGCATACCGGAAATTCCTGCGACAATTTTGTTGCTCTACTGCTAATCCCTTAACTAATAGCAATTAATTTAAAAGACGACGATAAGCAACCGAGCATTATAGCGACAACAACAACAACAACAACAACAACAGCAGCCACTGAAATAACAATGTACAAAGGACGACGGCAACACGGACAATCCGAAGGCAAACACAACACGCAAATGGCGCACAGCGTGTCCATTTTGCATAAGATTAAGGACATAGAGAGACACATTTTTTGTGCAACACCACAGCCAACGTACCCACAGCTCGACCCCAAACCAAAACCAAAACCCAGAGCTACCCATACCCTTGGCCTGGCAGCTGGGCCGCGTAGATTAATGAGCTAGGGCTAAAACGCGACGATTATGTAAATCGACCGCAGCCAGTTAAGGCAGCCAGCTGGCAACAGGCCTCCAAATAGTTTGTAGTCTATATACGTACATATATATATATACATATATATATATATATCTGTATATAAATACTCTATATATATATGCTCAGTTTATGTAGCTGTAAATGCAGACATAGCCGTAGACATAGTCGTAGTCGTACAATCTATATGCACGCCCACTAATGTGATTTATTTCTTGGTCGCCGGCGGCGTCGTTTTTCCTTGTCTCTTCCTTTCTCTTCCCTTTCTCTTTTGTATTTACAGGGTGCCACTGGCGTAACTGGCGCTCGCGGCCCGGAAGGTCCGCAGGGGGAGAAGGGCGAGCCAGGCGTCGACGGCATGCCCGGAGTGATGGGTCCACCCGGACCCCCGGGCCCGCCTGGCTTGCCAGAGAGCTATGATGTGAGTACAAGTTGAATTCGTTTTAAAAATTAATTATACGAATAACACGAGTAGAAATTGTCGTGCTTACGCACTTATCTTTTCATCACACGAACACACAACATTTATTTTCTTTTAATTTCATATTACTTTAAATATTTAAACATTAAAATATTAAACATTTTTTATTTTATTCAAATATCATTCAAGTAACATTCATCTTTTACATACTTGTGCTTTGGCATTCTCAAGTGTGATGAAAATCATGTTTATTATTTATTTTATTAATTTTAAAGAGAATGCCAAAGCAATACCCTGTACAAATTTGCATACAGGGTCTCCATTTGCATACTAACCTTTAATTAAATACTCTTGCAGCGAGCGCGAGAGTATCAAGTCTTCGGCCAGCTGAAGATATACTAAATTTTCAGTTAACTTTACGCTGTTTCGTTTGCATTTGGCATTAAATTGCAACTGTTACGCTAGACCCAAAACGGTAAGGCGCTCGTCCGTTTATCTATATCCGACGGATGCTTCCAATCACGCACGTTCCTTTTATGAATTGTGCGCCTCGGCGGCGCATTTGGCGGCAGGCATCGGTCATGTTCTGCTCGCCACACAATTTGCCTAAACCAATTTCCTTCCTGGGGGCAGGGACGCACGCCTGGCGAGCGAGCAGCAATCGACTGCACCTGTACACTGTGAAAAATTGCTGCCCAGATTTGGGCCTGGCAGGCCGGCGGCAGGCAGTCGACTGCTTCGACGGCTCAGGTTTGTTGTCGCAAATGGGTTATCTGTGCTAATAATCTTAAAACCACAAAGCTACAACAGCAATAGCAACAACAACAACAACAACAAAGCCAGCGCCTTGAACAACATGAACACCTCGCCGAAATGCCGAAACGTAAGTGTCCTGAACACGCAAACCGAAAACAAGCCAAGCCCAGTGCCAGTCCCACTCTTCAATGGAGCTCCCCCTTTTGGCGACGTGCAACTGACTCTGGCCGTGGCTCTTGCTCTGGCTCCTGCGCTGGCTCCGGCACAGGCACTGGCTCTGGCTCTGGCTCTGCCTGTGGGTTTCTGATTCAGGTCTTACGGAGTGCTGGCATGCCAGCTTGTGGCAATTACTGTTATCAGCGCGTGGCGCGCAGTTCACGCGGTTAAACGCGCTAACACGCATACTGATACTCGCTCACACACACACGCACACACACACAGGCACATTTGTATTGCTGGCTTTTAACCCTTTACGGAGAGCAAAACTTTTATTTTTTCGCCAGCTTTATCATCGCATTTCAACGCCGTATGTTGCCTGCTTGGGCGTATCTCAGCGGGCTCTGTCTGTCTGTGTGTGTGTGCGGTTGTGGTCGTAATCATTATCGCGCTGTTACGGTTATGAGAGTGTCAAGCTACTTATGGCTAACGCGCCAGTTAAGTCAGACGCTCGCTCAGTCAGCCTCCCATTGTTTTATGCGCTCGTCGGGGGTTTATTATCATTGTCGCATCGCTGGGTTAGGGCAAGGGGCGATAGGTGGGCGTGTTTTGGAGGCGTTTCCAATTGTTGTTGCTCTTATTGTTGTTCTCAAGCGTTTTGACCTTGTTACAGCCATGTGCCCAGGGAGGGCAAAAAAGCTTTTAAGTTTATTAGAACGACTTTTGATTGTTGACACAGAGACAACTTTTTCAAATAATTTTCGACGGGCCCAAACGAATGAGACTAGGGAGACGATGAGGAGGAGGGTGATGGAGTAAGTATGCTGTCCCCCCCCCATAAATTTGTAAAAGTTGCAATTTTACTGCCACAGCTTGAACTTTGAACATCAACGAATTGAAATCATATAATAATACGCTTTAATTCCACACCCATTGTTTTATGCTATATATTATAAACAAATCGTACCACAAAATATGTATTCTTGTAACAATCAACACATAAATAACAGATAAATTGGAATCCTACCAGGACTTTCAAGGTATAAATATTTAACAATTTCATTTTATGTTCCCACTAAACCAAAAAAAAAAAAAAAAAGAAAACAATAATAGAAATATAACAAGAACAAGAAAACAAAAGCACAAGTTTGCTCTGGGTAAGCATTGGCCGCAAAAACCTAATGGACTAGAACCCCTCGGTGTCATTAGTCCCAAGCATTAGGGGCGTCACACACACACACACACATGCACACACAAAAGGAGGCTCATCAGGTCATTAATCAAATTTCCCGAGTGTGTGCATGTGTGTGAGTGTGTGTGAGAACTACGTGTATTCTTGTTGGGTCAAAGAGGCCATCAAAGGTCGCCCGCTGCTTAAAAAATGGCCCCAAAATACATGTATCGAAATATAAATTGTACAACAAGCAAATATTTAACAAATTACTATGCTTACCTTCCCTCACACACACACACACACACACTTACATACCTATACACAACAGGAATCCTTAATGGGCAACTCGATGACCGGCCTACGCGGCTCCACCGTTACCCAAGCAGGACCTAAAGGAGCACCAGGCGAGAAAGGTGAGCCCGGACGACCAGGAGAGCGCGGTGAGAAGGTGAGTCAAAGTTCAATTCCAGCATTTTTCCAGCACATAAATACTCGCATGTATGCAAGTGTGTGAGTGAGTGCGTATGTGTGCGCATTGCAAATTATCCGAACCACATTGTTGTGTCAAATAATAACTTCTGCTCTATTGATTACTCAATTGATTTCGAGGCTAGAAACATCAAATGCCAATGACTGCCAAAGAGATGGGGATTTATATCCCAAAATCCAGTTCCCAGTAGCCAGTATACAGTCCTCCCTGTCCATATGCCATATGCGAATCACACTCAACATGATAGATGCCCCAGTTTTAGTTGTCGCATTTGTACTTCAGCTCGCAGCAAGTGGCCATCGTTTAGCTGAAACTCTCAGATTTATTGCATTGCATTCATTTGCGTGCCTGGACTGTCCATAATATGACGCATAAATTTCTATCAGACTAGAACCACGCGAGGGGATGTCGTATTATTTGTTGCCCTGCCGCTGGACCCGGGGCAATTTGTAAGCGTTTATAGCTCATTTGGCTGCCAGTTGATATGATCGAGGTGCTCTCTAGTTTATTAGAAATCGTTTACTAAAGTCCATTCCCTTGAATGACCCCTGCCATTCATCCAGTCATCCAGGCATCTCGGCATTCAGTCGCTCAGTCATTCAGTCATTCAGTCTGTCCAGTCAGTGTCTGGCAGTTACTACTTGGACTACTCGCATTCTGTATTATTTTTATAATAAGTTTTGGCCATTTCTGCAGCTCATCCTGCTTAGACGGCGCTTACTTCCCTCCCATTACGTTTCATGCTATTTAGCAGCTTAGGGACCCGGACTCCCAGCGAAGCACTGCTCCGGCTCCTGCTCTCGGACTCCTCGTTAGCAGGGGTCGCCCAGCTGGAAAAAGTGGCGCGCATATTTCTTTTATGTGGAACCTCAAAACTTTAAGCTGCCAACACATACTCCCAAGAATATAATATGCTTGTAGTATGTTTGCCATTTCTGTGGGGCGAAGTTTGTCGCACGTGGATGGGAGCTGAGGCATGAAGCGGGCCGTGGGATTGTACAATAGCTGGTGGGCGTTTCTCGGATTGTCAGCCGACTTCCGCTGCTGTTACACCTCCAATTTCGTCTGTGTGTGTGTGTGAAGATTTATTTGACCTTTGATATATTACGTAAGTACATATATTTATGCTTATTTGGCTAGTGGCAAAGTTTTTGTAGGCCTCACTTCGGGTCTATCCAAATAGTTGAGTGCCGTCTTGCGGCACGCCCTCTCGGTGAGGCCCTGGCAAACCATACTTAATCGGGCGTGAAATAAAAAGAAATTATGCAAAAACCTCAGCATCCCAGAGCTGTATAAAAAATCGATTACGATTTACTGATGAATTTACGCTCAATTTACGGTCACGCACGCACACACATGCCAAAAAATACCATATTACATTTGAATTTTCGAAACTAATATTGAAATTAGCATTTTAAACGTATAAATGCACGCACAATTAGGTACATTTCATTTAACTCAAAAGACACTCCCTCCCTCACCCTCCCCCCACACACAAATGAGGCCTTCTTTCAAGACAGCCCAGAGGCAATCGCGCGTACTCTCTAATGTTACACACACACGCACAGACTGTCATATGTGTGCGTAATTTTGGGTGCGTGTGGGTGGCTTATTAATTATTCATTAGTTGGCATCAAGCTGGCGATATGGTGCGAAGCCTGCAGCAACCCATGCAGTCGCAGGGTCAGGTCAATTTAAAGCAGTCCCGCACGGGAAGAGCGTTCATCCCATGCTCCAGACTCCACACTCCACACTCCACACTCCACACTCCTCAGCCAAGCCCCACACAAGCTGCGAGTAGGCGCGCGCAAATTTATGGCAAACCATTTAAGGCGCTGATGATGTGGAAGATGTGGCTGGGGTTGCTGGCAACGGCAGGGACTGGGACAAGGGCAGAGCAAGAGGCAGGAACAGGGACTGGGACTGGGTGGGAGCAAAACTGCAGAACGCCAGTCGCTTTGCAAACTGCCACAAAGCAAAGTCCCAAAAAGGCAGAAGTACACATGAGCAACAGAATACAGTTAGATTGCGATTCCTTATACTCGACTCGAAAATACCCGGGCTGTAAATCTTTATGCCCTTGAGTGTGGATAATTAAAATAAAAGTATTTGTCTGTTAATATTAATTAAAATGTATACAAAAATATTAATTTTCAATTTCAATTAAATTTATTTTAAATTTAAATATGTTACATTTGTTAGATGTTCATAGAACCATCAATTTGTTGTTCTTTGAAAATATTACAATCTAAATGTTAGGCAACTTTATGTATTCAACTGAGAATAGTTGATTAGAAAATATACCCAATACAGGCATAATATATCGCCTGACAAGTTTTTCGGGTTCGGGTACAAAAAGAAACTCGGGGGTTTCTTCTTTTGGCAATGGTTTTGTGTTTTCGGGCTTGTCACTAGCATTGCATACATTCTGCCGCATAAATTTATATATTTTGCGCGCGTGTGTGTGTGTGTGTGCGTGTTGCGTGTGAGTTGGTTTGATTGTGGGGATTGTGGATTTTAGAATTGATTTGATTTCAAAATGAGTTTGAATTGAATTTTTGCCGACGACAAAACGTTTGAAATTGAGTTTTACGGCCAAATTAGGCGTGAGTGCGCCCCCTGGGCATGTACCGTATATTTAATACGGTAAATCATTTTACACACACGCACCCACATTCTTCTTTCTGTTCACTCCAATAACAGGGTCACAAAGGCGCTCACGGACCCGCTGGACCCAAGGGTGAGCCCGGAGCACCAGGCCTGCCCGGATTGGCCGGCCAGCCAGGCGACGGCAACGGCACCAAGGGCGAACGGGGCGAGAAGGGCGAGAAGGGCATGCGCGGCCGACGCGGCGGCACCGGACCGGCCGGACCAATTGGACCACCCGGCAAACCGGGACCCATGGGCGATATCGGGCACTCGGTAAGACACTCATAACTTTTGCATCCATATTCATGAGGCGGGCCAACTTTCACATGCCTGCGCCCATTGTTTGTGTCGCTCGCAAAGTTCACTTATAGCCTGTCAGTCAGTCGGACAGACTGACAGACAGTGGCTGGGATCGTCGCAAACGTGAGCTAGACAACAGGCGAAAGCGAATCCGCGAAAAGCGAGCCAAACTTGGCGAAATAAACTCAAACGAAAAGTATTTTAAGTGCATTTTCATCACGGTTATTCAGGACGCTGACGCAGCACACGATTCCAATTGCAGTTGCCCCAGAATTTCAGTTGCAGCCATTATTCCGCAATAACAGCAGCTGCAACTAAAGCATCTACGGCAACAACAACAGCAACAACAATGGATAGTCTCATATAAAGGCAAAAGTTTGCTTTGGCTGCCTGCTCGCTTGCCAACTGGCATCGTTTACCGCCTCTCGAAATCAAAGTCAAGCTACGTATTTACATGAATGGCGCGCCGAAATGAAGCCAAACGAAAGTTTGACTCAATTCCTGGAAGTGGCACAGGCACCGCACCACACGCGCAGCACCACCAACAAAACATCAAAGCGTTGCAGCTACCAAATTGTTGCACTCTAAACTGCAAAACTTTGGCCGTTTTTGGCGATTGTTCAACTTGGTTTTTATACGCGAGTTACTCCACTTGTTAGTAGCGATTCCTGCCAGCCACTCGGACCCTGCCACATGTTTCCACTCTGAGCGCTGCGTTGCAGCTGCAAGGGTTGACCGGGCAGAAAGTGCGTCCGGGGCGATTAAAACAAATCTTTTCTGAGCGTAATAAATGTTTGGCTATCATTTATGAAACTCTCGTTTCTAGGGACGCCCTGGAATGATCGGGCCGAAGGGTGACACTGGACCCAAAGGTGCCAAAGGAGACGCCGGTGGCCGTGATGGAGTGAGTCTCAGCAGTTAATTTGCAACAAATTGCTATTCAAGCCTGTCTATCCATCCATCCATTCTAGATGAAAGGCGACAAAGGTGATCGGGGCAACGATGGCCGTGACGGATTGCCCGGACCACCTGGCCTGCCGGCAACAACAGGTGGCGACGGTGACAGCAGCGGTGTACAGTACATACCCATGCCTGGTCCGCCGGGGCCGCCCGGTCCACCCGGACCACCCGGCTTGCCGGGCTTATCGATAACCGGACCCAAGGGAGAGGCGGGCATGGACTCGCGCAGCTTCTTCAGAGATGCCTCCTATTACGGACGACCAGGTGAGCCGACGGCCGCTCCAAAGTGCCAACAGCAAATTGTATATACCAGCATAATTGTACATGTATAGTTAGGTGCCCGTACTTGTGCCATGCTTCATAACTGTACATATGTGCCCTACCCACACACACACACATATATGCAGACATATAAACACAGACAGACAGTTACCCAAGTGCATTCTCCCATACCCATAATATGATATCGATTCCAAATCATTCTGTATTGTACTCGTAATCAAGGTGCGCGCTCATCTTTAGACGAACTTAAAGCACTGCGAGAGCTGCAAGATCTGCGCGATAGACCCACAGATGGCACAGCCGGTAAACCATCAAAGTCAAATCATATCAATTCACCAAAGTTGGCGTAGTGAAATTTCTTTTTCGATGTTGCATGCCAAAGCATTCTTTTCCATATATGTCATCTAATACTATATGCATATTTATGTACATATGTAGTAGTGAGTATATTCACACACACATGCATACACAACACGCCCATCATGTCCTTGGCATGCCTCAAATCTAGGAAGGGGAATTGGGCTCATTATTTGCACATCATCATCATCTCATTTGCGTTAATGAAGTACATGTAAACATTTTGTTCAACATTTTTACAGAGTCATGCTTTCACTTACCAAAACCAGAAACAAAAACCAAAACGAAAACCAAAACAAAAACAAAAAGAAAACACACAGAACATGACAGAGAATGCTTGAAAATAAGCTCTATAGATCTCACCTGGTAACCCATAAACGCGAGTGCCTGAGCATGCGTTGCCTCTGTCTGACTGCAGAGGATGTCGTTTTATGCTGAATAGATAAGATCTGGTCAAATATTATTATCTGCTTTGGTTTCAGATTGGCTTGCAGTCCTAGGCAAACCCAGTGTCGCATGCTTTGGCTTTACAAAATACCTCTATGAGGTCTTTCATTTTCCATATATATTTTTATTAAACTCTTGGTAAATTCTCACACATCAAATTATGTATTATTGTTATATAATAGGTAAATTAAATGGCATTTGTGTTTTATTGCATATGAAGTAGTTGCAGTATTGAATTAACTATCAGCGCGCACACATTTTAATGCAGTTCATTATGTATTTATACGTATCTAAGCTGAGTTATCTTAAATCGATGTTTAACACGCATGTCTCGGAATCATCATTTGCAGAGCCACCGCGCCAGACGTCGCACTCGCACAAGCACGAGGAGGCGCCCCATGGCTTTGCCATGGGCATGGGAGATGGCGAGGAGCTGCCGTACTTTTCCGCATCATCATCGAACATGAACATGAGAATCGTGCCAGGTGCAGTCACCTTCCAGAACATAGACGAAATGACAAAGGTGCGTTGCCACAGTACACACACACACACACACACACACACGCGCACACACGCACATACACTAATACATGCAAACACGCACATCTACGTGCATATGTCCACGGAGCATATCCGAGCATATAAATTTAGCAGCGTATTTCTATTCGTATTTATTTATTTTTTGTTTTTTAACTCATTTAAATTTGGTGTCTTTGACGTTCCCATAGAAGTCGGCGCTCAGCCCCCCCGGCACCCTGGCGTACATTACCGAGGAGGAGGCGCTGCTCGTGCGCGTCAACAAGGGCTGGCAGTATATAGCGGTAAGTGGAGCTCTGGGAAGAACTGGGTTAAATGTTCGGATTGAGATGGGATTGGAATCGGGAGTGGAAATGGGAGTGGGAGTGGGTTAGAGCAAACAAGTGCGGCTCGTGCGTGCGCTCTCAAATGGCAAATATGGCAAACAAAAAGTCGCTGGCGGACGCCATTATTTTATGGAGCAGTCTTTGCGAGTCGCCCAGCCCATTGCCTGCTTTCTATATATTATGAAAATATGGCTTGGCAAAACAGAAGAAAACAGAACAAAGCAAAACAAAATAAAATGCAATAAAAATAGAAGGCTGAAGGAGGAAGGCGGAAGAGTGTGTGGCAGGAGGCTAGGCAGAGAGACGTCTGACGTACATATGTTTGTTTTGTTTATTTTGCCTCTTGTTTTTGGCCATAAAATAGGGTTTTTGTTTGGCAATGTCCTTGTCTTGGCGGCGGCTCCTTTGGGCTTTTTTATTTGCACATTAAATGTTGCAGACGTTCTGACTGATTGCCAACGGATCGGCAACATGGCCCGAACCGTGTGTGTCCCGTTATTCAATTATATTGACTCGCGCCTGGCTTTTCACTCAAGCGAGTTAACGATACAACAAGAATTCCGCAACTCCTAAGCCAGCAGCCAGTCGGCACAAGGAGAGCAACGAAGTGCCGCCTCGAACACGTAATATTGACGCAAAGCTGATGGACAGACCCAGGCAGATGTCAGCCAATTTCAGTCCAACCAGGCACCAACCCACTTGCTGCTACAACAAACACACACACACACACACAGTCACTCAGTCAGTCAGCAGCTGCGACGCGTCGCTCCCAAGACGGAGCAACAACAAAACAAACGGAACTTTTATTGGCAACGAATAAAACATGCATATGCTTGCAGAGACGCCCTTTGGGTCATAAACCTTAACTGGAGATTAAGAATAATATTAAATGGAATTGCAAATCGAATATTTCTACACAAATGGCAATCGGAATATTTTCAACTTTAGCACTTTGGCGCACCCACTCGCCCACAGCTTCAGTTTGTGCAGTGCATTACTCAACACTGCCAATTAATCTTTGCTGTCACCAGCGCTGCCAGTCGAAGCCGAAGGTAGAACTAAGCCAATTTGGCTCGGTCAGCACTTGTGAGGCGTACAAAAAATGACCTGAAGCGTCCACAAATTACACGCAAAATTGAACCGATTGGCAATAGCTTGTTACCCATTAAAGTGGCCACAATTTGTGAGCAGCTTTCGGCCGAGTTAGTTCCAGATTTGTGGCAATGCGTTATTAAAAAGTATTGCACGATTTTGGGGGCGCCTGATTGTGCACACAGTGTACAATACATATGCTCAAAATTGTTCAAGATTCGATTTCCGCTTCCGTTGTTGCATGCACAAAGCCAATGCCAGCACAGCACAGCACAGCAGAGCAGAGCACATCTCAGCACAGTGGGCGTGGCCAGCCCACACAGAGAGCAACCAACTCGTTCTCCTCGCTCTGCCATGTGCATGCCCACAAGAAGGGAAATGGAAATGAACTCGAAAGTCAGCGTCAGGATGCAGGAATGGGATGGGACGGGATGGGATGGATCGGGATGGGATGGGATGGGATGGTATAGGGTTGCTCAAATCTGATGCCTTTGACGGCAACATTTAAATACTTTTGGCAACAAAACGTGCATGGAGCTTTCCTTGAAAAAAAAAAGTGGGTAAATCAAGCAAAAGCTCATTGACGCTGCCAGGCAGGGCTTTTATGTCCTTTGCCTGGGCTGGCATCTGGCTGCCTAAGCCACTTGCAGCATCAGTGGTGACACTCGCGTCCTAATTAGATTTCAGTACACGAGTCGACTACTTAAAGTTCAAAATAGTAATTAAAACTTTCGCCAGACGGCAGCAGCGCACAGTGTCTTTCTATTCTATGCGCAGCACAGATAAAAAAAAAAAATAAAAAAAACAACAACAGCAACAACAACAAAACATGAAATCTTGAATTATTAAAAATTACATTTAGCAAAAACTTTACTCTTGATGTTTATTAAATTGAAGCCTGATTAGCTAAAAGCAGCAACGCTGTCAAATACATGGCAAACACGCTTTCCCATCGCTTTATTATAAAGTTAGCCGATGTTAGTGGGAAATGGAATTTTTAAAACGGGAAAGAGTGTCTGCTTCGGGGACAGTGGGATTTGCTCTAACGTTGGGCTTATGAAATGTTGATGCCTGAGTTGGCCAACTGCAATTGCTTTTAATTACCACTGATAACTGTACTAAATACGTCTTATTATCTACTTATCTATTGACAGCTTGGCACCCTGGTGCCCATTGCCACGCCAGCTCCGCCCACCACAGTTGCGCCCTCTCTGCGATTCGACTTACAATCGAAAAACCTGCTGAACAGTCCACCTCCATTGCTCAACACACCGACGGTGAGTGCCTAACGTGATATCACATATCAACTTACACACCAACATAGACAATTGTTCTTTAACTCTGCCGAGGCACTTGTGCAGCTGCAAATGTGCATTAAAAGCCAGACAAATACATATTTCAAATAGTTTCATTCATTGATCCATCATTTGCATAATATTGCTGCTGTACAAGTACCTCAAGTGCATAATATACCGTTACTCTCGAATTGAATTACATGAATAACTCGTCACTCGATGGCTCTAAAACTTGTATAATTAATACCAAGCGCAAAATTAAGCAATTCAGTTAATAAACACTACTAAAACTATTTATTATTAATTGTTATTAAATGCAGTTTACAACCGCGCCCGAATATGAAACGGTAATTAAATAAAATATCATATACTGATTCACACACATAGACAGACAGACGGACACACTTACAAACACACACTACATAGAGAGAGAGAACAAAAAAGAATCATACTAAATCGAATTAATGTATCTCTTGCACACACACATAGTCACACACACACACACACACAGGATAGACAGTTAGACACACAATTAAATAATCCGATTTTGGTTTGGTTTGGTTTGGTCAATGAAAACGTTTCTAATTAGTGCAAATTGTGTTTTGAGTTCTGCTCCGTAATGAGCCGATCAATTTGCGTAGTTCTGGACTTCTATTTTGAGTTTCTATTATGATTATGAATTATTTATGTGAAACTTATTGTATGCTAATGCTTATATCAATGTCAGCCATGGGCCACATCCATATCTGTGTCAGATGTGCTTTTTAATTCGATTTCACTTTGTGTAGCTTATAATTTATGCAGTGCATCTTCGCTCAACTGAACACAGACTATAGCAAGAGTTGAGCGTTTTTTTTTTTTGTGTTTTGTGTATTCTTGAATTGCTCTATAAATACAAATACATGTCTACATCAATATCTCTTACAATGTACGATTTTTTGCGCCCCTCCCACACTTGCTGCATCAAATAATTGGAATCTTTATCAATGATGCCCAATTGAATACCATATGAAATGCTCGAATTACATTCTCAGTGGTATCCGCGGATGGTGAGTGACCTTTCAGTACAATTACGAATACCAAATATACATATCTACCAGGCGACCCAGTGAATGCCCTTTCAAGCCAGCTGCACACATATGTATGCATGCACAGACATGCGTACATGTATGTGTGTGCGAGTTCCTTTGAACCTGTACCCTCTGTAGGTTTGTTTGCATTCCCCAGTATTGCTCAAATTGAAATATCTTTTGAGTTTTTCGCTATCGTATCGCACACACTCGTATCGTAAGAGCCTCAGAACAAGTTGAAATTTGTTGCCCCATCCTCGAGTTGGCTAAACAAACAACTCGCAGCCATTAAATTCTATATTAATTAGATTTCAAAATGCTTGACATAAACTCCAAATTAATTTTCTGCCATATTTTCTGTGCTCCCCACTTCCCAATCCATACAATAGCTTCGCGTGGCAGCCCTCAATGAGCCCTATGCCGGCGACTTGCAGGGCATTCGGGGCGCGGACTTTGCCTGCTATCGCCAAGGCCGGCGAGCGGGACTTCTGGGCACATTCAAGGCGTTCCTCACATCCAGGTAAGCATGAGGCACTATGCGTGCGCCTGCGGGCGGACGGACAGTCGCAGTCAGTGGAGGACCGGGTGTGTCTTATCTGTGCTTAGATTCTTTTTACGCGTATTAGGCATGTTTTTTATGTTTAGTTTGGCACTGTGCGCACTTTAAGCTCGGCACTCGAGGATTTCCAGATGGCATTGCTCATACGCAGCGCTGGCCACCAGCCGGTGGCGCCTTTGGAACTCATTAACTGGAACATAATCTTGATATTTGAATCAAAGCAAGAAAAGCGCACAGAAAATATGAAAACAAAAGCCGCTAAAAACAATCTCGTGCAATTTATTTACACAGCGCCGAGCACACAAAGCGCTGAATGGATGCCAAAATAAATGTTAAGGCTGCCAGAGTAAAGCATAAATAAATAAATAAAGAAATATATACTTATGGCATGGCTGCTATATGCATTCGCTTGCGTAGCCACGCTTAAGAGCCGCCAGCTGCCTCTTGGACTCTTCGTAGGTAGTTTGCTCACCTGCTTTAGCTGCTTTAGCTGCAGCAGACCCCTGGTCCAGGGTGCCGCGGCTCGTTCTCTTAATCCGCGTGCTTAACTTATTTTTCTTCTTTTTGTTGTCGCTCACAGGGTGCAGAATCTGGACTCTATAGTGCGTCCAGCCGACTGGGAGCTGCCAGTCGTAAACACCCGCGGCGATGTGCTCTTCAATTCGTGGAAAGGTGTCTTTAACGGCCAGGGTGGCTTCTTCTCCCAGGCACCGAGAATCTATAGCTTCAGCGGCAAGAATGTGCTGACAGACCCGTTGTGGTAAGTTCCGTCATCTTGTGCTCGAATGTACATATGTACATGGACTCATATTCGCTGCAGGCCACTCAAACTGGTCTGGCACGGCTCACTGCCGAACGGAGAGCGCTCCATGGACACCTATTGCGATGCCTGGCACTCCAGCTCGCACGAGAAGTTCGGCTATGCCAGCAACCTGCTGGGCAACAAGCTACTCGATCAGGAGCGCCAGCCCTGCGACGGCAAGCTGATTGTGCTCTGCGTGGAGGCCTTGTCGCAGGATCGGCGGAAAAAACGCGACGTCAGTAGCAGGTGAGCAGGGGGAGGAGGAGGAGGGAGCAACAATGAAATAAACTGAAATGAAATGCTTACACGTGTTGTATTGATTTGGCATTAACTTTTTATGGTGCTCGCCACGCACCCGAACTTTGCTCATTACAGTCGCAGTCACAGTCACAGCCACAGTCACAGTCGCAGTCACAGTCACGACGAGCTAAAACTGGAGTTCACAACGGCCGAGGAGTACGCCGAGCATTTAGATAATTTACAAGTGTAAGAGCCGCAGAAGTCGGGCAGTGGGTGGTAAACGGTAACGGTAACTGTAACTGCAATACAATACAACACACACACACAGAATACACACATTAAATGTAAACGTATATCATGGCCATGCATAAGTACATATAATCAGCGAATTCCAAACTAAACCAAAAAATACTCAAGTAAGCGATGGATTAACAATTGCATAGTAAAATATGAACATAAACCTAAATAATTAAATACTTAATTACAAGTAACTAGGCATATATACTATATATATATACAATAATTTGTCATATCTTATAATTTGGACAGACGAGAAGGATTTTTGTACAAGCGAGTTATATAATATTCGTAATTGTAGCCTAATACATAGTGAAAATTAATAACTAAGCTAAAAGATAATTTGTAATTAAGTCACAGCGAGGGCGAATCATATTTGCTGTTGCTGCTACTGCTGCCATTAAGGTTAGTCCTAGTTCCAGATCCAGGATCTACCATTCGAGAGCTGGTCCCCCCACAGCATTAGCAACTGAAACTCTACCGATATAAAGACCAACAGTAAACAGCAGCACATACGAACTGGCCAAATTAGTCTCCCTCATTCTGCAGCCGGAGGCGGATCCATGCGCAAATACATTTCCACATGGCTGTATACGTGTATAAATGTATTTTGTCAAAGACTTCTAAATGTGTAAATGTTAAGCAAACAAAAGAATCACTGAAATCGAGAAAACAATTGATAAGCAAATTCCGAGCAAACCTTTTTAAGCCCCGAAACCAACGTTTTTAACCAAATCAGCTCCAATGTGCATTATGTTCTATGCCAATCCAGTTTTCTATTCTACTTACTAATAATGTAGTCAGATTTTCTACATTGAAATACTCGTTATTATATAAACTACAAATAGAGAAGAAGAAGACGAAGAAGAAGAGGAAATGACACAAGCGTAAGCCCATTTTTATATGAATGCAATAGAATAACTGAATTATAGCAGCGAATGCAATAATTTAAATGTAATAAATAAATGCGCATACATATGTATATATATGTATATGTATATGTATATGTGTATGTATATGTATATGTATGCATGTAATGTAACTTATTGTAATTCTAGTACGAACACTAACGAGTAATGCACCAAATTACTTGTCCCAGTATAGTTAGTTATATAATTTAATTTGCATTTAATTATGCATTTCCAGCTACAGATTTGTAATGTAATAAATTAATAATGTAATTGTATAACTGAAAAGCTTATCATTTTTAACAATTACCAATTAAAGAGGAACAGCAGGAGTTATGCTAATTGGGTTAAAGTCAATCCCAAGCAATTATATACATACTACATGCTAAGTATCACATACATACATGTCTACACACATGCACGCATGCAGCTGCATAAGTGTGTGCGCATGTGGCGAATAACTACTTTTAGTGAAATCAAAATGAATACTTAAATCCCTCTAGTCGTAAGCCTGATACTTCTATGCAATTTGAGAGTGCATATAAAATGAATAAAAATACATTTACGTATGATAAATAATCTAAAAACAGATGCGGGTATTTTATTCTCGGGTGGAGTCTATGCTAATGGAATGCTCCAAATGGACATCGATTCGCAGCTCAACAGCTCAACAGCATTGTGAACCCAGATGATACTTTCTCTCTTACTATGCCATGAAAATTATAACTGAATAATAAAAAATATGTAATAAACTTTAAACTAACCAATAAGTAGCATCTATCTGCAAAGCATTCTGCATTAAAGTTACGTTAGACTTTTAGTCCAGTGGGTTTTATTCTTCGCACACATCTGGAGTACAAGTGATGCATGAGATTGACAAGATATTTCTTTGATCAATAATATATCTTCACTTAAGTTGAAATCAATTTTCATTTCCATTTTAAATTCCAAGCTAGACATGCAGTAAGAAAGAAAAGAAATAGACCCAGTAAATTTTGTTCCTTTCCATCTGTAAATGTTCATCGCACGTTTGATTACCAATTTAAATAATTTTTCACTTGAATTAAAGCAAATGATTTCAAACAGTGTGCGCCATAAAATAGCAGAGCCGCAGCTCGATTGCTGCTCCCCTTAGCAGTCATTCGGGGGCATTGATGCTTTATGAATTTCAATGGCAGGCAACATAGTTTCAACGGTGATGCGGTCGCCACGGACATAGATACAGATACAGATACAGATACTGATACAGAGCAGATACAGATACCGATACAGATACAGATTCAGATTGAGATACACGCACGCAGCGATGGATAGAGATACAAAACGTTTGTAAGGTAACCAAAGCGGGCTGACAATCGACCGAGCCAGAGGACAGAGAGACAGAGCCGACAAACAAATAAACAAGCCGACAGGCCAGAGAAAAGCCAACAATTGCGATTACGATTGCGATTGGGGCCGGAATTGGGGCTGGGACTCGAATTGGGATTCAAATTGTGGTTGCGCTTGTGAGCGCCAGCCACTTAGGCACAGAGCAATCAAATCAGATGAGCAGAATGAAATTTTAATTTAATGAATGAATACGAAAATTTTTGGTTAGTTGATTAGCTGTGAAGTCGAAAGGTCATGTGCGCCCCCAACAAGAGAGAAACCAAACTGATAAGCCAAACAAAGCCGTTGCTGAGGTGAGTGCTGATTAAATGGAATCGCTGCCAAGGTAAGTAACCGTGGCAGGCCACGAACGAGCAGCAACTTGTAATAACATTTTGTATCTTTTGTAGTCGATTGCATTTTCAATTTTCAATTATAAAACTTGCCGCCTGCCGGCTGCCGGCTGCCGGCTGGAGGTGCTCAGAAAGTTTTAAATTCCGACTGCGCCTGACAATGTCATTCATCATAACACGTTTAGCCGTGAGCTTATTAGATTCCACTTTTGTACCCAAGCGCGTTTACAAGTTTCTCTTCTTGTTTCCCATTTTATTCAGCTCTGTTGTTTTCATTTTTGTTTCTTTTTTTTTTAGTCGAAGCCAAAGCACACGACTTGCTGCCTGGCAAACCACAGAACTTACGCATTTGGCATCCTAAAGAAGTTGCTCCTTGTCAGTGTGAATGTGTGTGTCTGTGGGTGTGTGGTTGAACAGGGCACGTTTCGTATGTGTGGGCAGACAACATGCACACACATATGCATACACATGTCACGAATAAAAACAATTTATCATTTAGCTTATCAAGCGTGGCCTAACGTCCATTATTTTTCGGACGCTATGCGCAGAATTGTTTTTTGATGATAGCCATAGCCCCTAGCTAGCAGTACAGCAGACAGCCAATGTAAATAGTTAAGCAAATGCCCGAGAAATGATTATTGTGCTATTTAGCTGGGGCTAGAGTGAACAACTGACTCTGGTTTTGATTAAAATGCACTGCATATTCTCAGGTATTATATACAGGGATACATGTATGTATGTATATATGGAATGTCTGCAAGTGCCGGCAACTGCATGCACTCACAGTCAAATATTGAAATGCCTCTGCGGCACCAGCGCGCCGCACCGTCTGTGCTGCTCTAATAACCGACTTGCGCCCGTACGGCCTGGCCGGGCCTGGCCCGATGTGTAACTGAAAACCAACAATTATGCATGCCAAACCGCAGAAACCGATGCACCGGCGGCTACAGGAGCGGCCGCAACAACGCCAACTGCAGCGGGAGCGGTACAGTCGACGGCGACAGCCACATCAGAATTTGCATAACTTTGTATGATTTTTCAACAGCCAACGCCACAAAATCATTCAAACAGGCACTGGCAAACCAAACAAAAAGTTTAGCATAAATATTGACTAACGTATACCCAGCAATGCTATAGAATATCCGACATAGTTGAGCTGTTATTTGAATAGACAGATTAGTTTAATCTTTTTCCCTGTTGGTATTTTGGTTTTGTTTCCAGCCACAGAGTACAGATTGTAATTGCAGTGTAGGGAGTACCTATAAGAGTTAATAGGATTTACTAGCTAGAAAGCCTTACAAAGTCTTTTGCTGAAATTTCAATTCTAAATATGCAATATGCATATTGAATTTCCGCACATAACTCGACTTCTTGGCAAATGCTGCGGTCGTTTATCAAATAACCCGTTTCAAGTATATTTTAAAGGGTAAAAACGCAGCTATCCTCTCGTACTCACACACACACACACACACACACGCCTTTACCCGGTGTCAGTGAGCCGTCAACATTTCAACTTGTCATGCGAGCAGACACACACTCGCACACACACACACACTCTTACACACACACACACACACACACGGAGAGAGAAAGTGTGCGCACAGCCCGCTTGCAAAGGCGAAGACGCTGTGCTGCTACTGGCCTACCTCCAATTTGTCGGGCTTCAGCGGGCATTCGATATCATGGCTTTTGTTGCATACTTTTGTGACTGCAACAACGGCAACACCAACAACAACCACATTCAGGGCAAGAGCAGCGACAGCAGCAACGTATTATTTCAGCTACGTTTTGCGGAAATGCAACTGAAAACTTGCAATTTGTTTGACGTTTTGGTATTTTTGTATGAATTTGTAATGCCCTGGACTTCAACACCTGCCAACGGCATTACAATATTGTTTGTTTGCTGGTTACGTTTTTATGTTCTTGTCGTCGCTCTGCCTGATGAAGGGCCGTGTCCATTTCAATGCGATACCCGCTGATCCAATCGAGGTTGAATCGGGCTGGGCTGAGCTACTACATATTTACCATTTAGTTTATTGGTATTTAAACGGAAAAGCCAATGCTGCAGGCTCTTACACACACGCGCACACACGCGCACACACACGCATACACACACGTGCGGAAACACATATAAACAGCGACTCACATGCGTATTTATGTTATGCTGCCGCAGTAATACAAAAAGGTAGCAACTTTTAATTGAAAAACTTGAGCACTTACAAGTTGCCAACAGCAATGGGGAAAAGTCAAGGGGAGTGCAGTGAAGGTTCACATTCAGCGAAATATATTGTATTTCCGCGCCACTCACTACACCTACGCACACACTCTCTCACTCTCTCACTCTCTCGCTCGCCTTCTATTAGCAATTGTAGAAGAGTCGCAGTAATAGAGCAGCTGCGGCACTGCGCGGGATCCTCTGTGCAACGATGAAGGCGCGTTGTCGCCGGCATTACTCAAGTTGTTAGCAATGTTTACAAACACAATAAGCAAATACACTGACGATAGCGACAACAACAACAACAACAACAACTCGAAGTGGAGTATCAGAAACAGCAGCGACAACTGTAAGCGAGTCACCTGCACAGGTGTTGCAGACTTAAAGGCGCCGCCGCCGTTGCCGTTGCCATTGCCTGCCGTCGCAGTTTCTGTTTCTGTTTACACAGAAAGTTTTTCTGCGTGGGCCGGCGATGACTTAGCCGAGCAGGCGGATAGTTATAGTTGCCACTGTTAGCTGGAGCATGCAGCTAGCTGGCTAAGTAAAGTCTGCCAGCAGAAACGTGCGAATAAGTTTCAGCATTTGGTAGCTACATACTAACACAAATATTTACCCGCCGGTTAACTAAGCAGCAAAGCGATTTCATTTAAAGCGAACTGAGGAAATCGATAAAGCTGCAGAGTATGCTGCGAGGATTAAGATGAAGACGAAGAGGCCCATTAGAGATTTCTCATATAAAAATCAATTTTCATTCAATAATAATGCCTCTTAACCACTGTGCACACACACACACACACAAGCACACGTGTATCGCGTCAAAGTGAAAAGCTTTTAACTGTCAGTCATTAACTGAAATTGGTTGAGGCCGAACAACCGAATATTCAGCAACAGCTGCATAATTAAAATTATGATTTGGCTTTTGCTACCAAATCTATTTGGAGGGAGCCCTAATTGGTTTATGCCTAATGTACAACTATATGTGCCGACTGATGTTCATGCGGCAGCAACTGTTGCAACTGCGACGGAGCAACCTGCCGCAGTGATAACGTTGCACATGCAAATTGCAAGTCGCGCCGCGGCAACCGCATTGATTATCGAGTGTCGACAATAGCAGAAGGGGGTCCACACGGATTGAAAGCCAACAGCACCACCAACACCACCAGCAATGCCCAAAGCCACGCGGCCTCAGCTTAGTATTTCATATAAACCGTAAGCCTATTAATAGCCCCCGTCTGCGATCAGACAAACAATTAAAATTGACGGCACTTTTAAGCGTTCGCCCAGCGCTTGGCAGCCCCCTCTCCGATCAAAGGGGTCCGCAGGGCTGCCCCAACAATGGCAGCCATTGTTCAATTGGGCGTAAATGTGTTGTTGTTGTTGTTCTCGCACAGCACGTGCTAACCCTTTGGCTATTGCCGCTGTTGCTCCTGCTGCTGCTCCTGCTGCTCCTGCTCCTGCTGCTGTTGCTGTTGCCCACGGCTCAGACAAGACGGCGATTTACCAGCTGCCTGGACACGTCAATTAGTTGCTGGCCAGTTTGTCGCTGCTGGCCAACACACAAAGTGCTTTGTTATTTGCGGCAGATTATGGCAGCTTAGGCAGCGATTAAAATGTGTGCATGGTATATCCAATCAATTTATATGTAACCCGCTCAAATAAATTAGCTCTAAACAACAGTTGCTCTTCGACACTTAATAGCAAGTTAGGCCAAAGGACTTCCGAATTGTTCCTTAAGCTTAAAAGCCTTTATGCAGCTTTACACATATGTAGCTTACAAAGTTGTGAAGCTCGATAAAGCTTCCTCCAAAAAGCTTTTCCTTATTAGCCGAAACAGCCTACCAAAAGCTTTAGCAAAGTTGTTATACTCGACGAGCACAAAGCTGTGCATTTCCTTTTCCAGCGAAGCTCTAAAGCTCTAGAAAAGCTGTCTCCATTTTCAAAGCTTACTTTATGCATTTATTAACTCAAACGGGTGCCAATAAAAATTCAGTTTTTTGTAATTTTATGAATTTTATTTAATCATAATAAACAATGCAAATCCAAAGCATTAAAATGTAAACTTGATACTTAACATACGCTTCAAATAACGAGCTATTGACCATAATTTCTATGTTTGCCATTGGCACATACATATGTGTATGTATATATATATGCATTGTAATATATGCATATTCCATTGTAAATATATGCACTTCATAGAATAATGCAATATTCGCTTCGAAACTTTAAATAACTTTTATGTGTGTACGAGTTAACGCATTTTGATCAGTTTAGATATCAATTGGTATATAGTTAGTTATTAAGTATATATGTATATAAGTATTGGTATATAAGTATTCTTGTGTATATAATATAATGTTAATTAATTTGGTCATTGTTTCATATATGGAAATTGTTAATTCCTTTACTCATAATACTTTTTAGTTGAATTTTAAATTGTTGCTGTTGCTTAGGTTAGATTGAAACTCGAATTTAATACGCATAAATTCGGTTTAACGCTATACGTGTATATGCATATGTATATGTATATGTATATGTATTTGTATATGTATATGTATGTATGTGGCTTAGTATAATATATACTCATATGTACTCATTGTATATGATTATGTATTGGCATAGAGTATTGTAGCATTAAATAGTATTCTTTTGTTTTAGGTCTGGTCTAGTCTGGTCTGGTTGCTCGGTGTACACGTTTTACAATAGTGTTTAATTGGACCCTTTAGGTCTTGTATTGGGCATAGATGTGTGGCATTGGTGCATTGGAGTTCCATAAAGTGAGAAAAAAAAAACGTTGGCTTAATATCAACAACAATCAACAATAACAATTAAATAAGCTAACTCTCAGTTCATCCCAATTCATTCAAATTCAACTTTGGTTACTAAATCTTAAACCGAATCGCATAACAATTACCAATTCCATGTATGTCCTAACATTATTGTCGCCTGCATTTGTGTGTGAGTGTGTGTGAGTGCATCAATTCAAAATAAGTGCCGATACGAATACAAAGAAATACAAAAATGTAAATATTTGTTGTAATAGAAATAGAATATTTGGTCTGTTTGCTTTGTTGAAATGCGAGGTGCGGAGGAAGGGTTGGAAATCGTGTTTAAATATGCGTAATACATATATATATATATTCTATATTTGACTTGTTTGCCTTGCTAATATTATAATAACAATGCGAAAAATGCAAAGCTCGTATATATAATTCATTTATATACCATTTGCTTGCCCTGGCCACACACCCACATGCGAGTGTGCTCCCAGCTTGTGTGTATAAGTATGTGCTCAAGTATTTACATTACATAACGAAATCACCCAAACGCTGCGTTTAAAATTAAGATCTCTCTATCTATCTGTCAGTTAGGCTCACTGTCTGTGGCCTCCCCTGACCACCACATGCTGACCCTTTTCTCACTACTATCACATGGACGTCAAGAATCTATGCCTGCCCCTGGCCAGCGCGAGAGCGCATTCACATGAGGACGCAGCGGTTCCAGCGGGATGTGCTGCGCACACCGCCCTCGCCGCCTTCGTTGAGAGCCATCGTCTTGGAGCGCATCAGATTGAGGTCGGTGCGTATGCTGGGCCGACGTGCATTGGGCGTGACTACGCCGCAGGCATCACTGAAACGTCGCTTGATGGATAGAGCATTCTTCTTGCTGCCGCCCACGGCCGAGCCATGCGGAGGCAGTGGCGAGGGCGCGCCAAACACGGACACGAGGCGTCTGTGCTGGTTGGGCGTCATCTCCAGGGGCAGATTGGAAACCGTAAATAGGGCATGGAACAGATCATCGATGCGATAGTTCTGGCGTGCCGAGCACTCCACGAAAGTGCAGCAGTTGTCCTGGCCAGCTATATAGCCCATCACCTCGTCCAGCTGAACGGTTCTATATAGGAATAGTGAAATCAAATCATGAATTCAAGTGAATCAAGTGAAACTAAATCCAATTTATTATCATCAGCCTACTTGAATTCACGATCACATTTGTTGCCAGCCAGAATCATGGGTATTTTGGGGAGGCTCTTCTTCTTGAAACCCGAGCCTGGATTCAGAGCCGCCCACTTGGTCTCGAGTATGTTCTCTCGCAGGCGCACCACCTCCTCGAAGGACTCGCGCGAATCCATGCTAAATACCAATATAAATAGATCGCCTGCAATACAAATCGATGCAATCGAATGAAATATTTAACATTATTTGATTTAGTTGATGCAAATTTATTGCTTTTATATTGGATACCATACCGTGCACACACACAAACACGCGCACACACATGGGGAGTATAGTAATCTATGTGTGCATGTGAAGGAACAAATAACTGACTTCGCCAGCTGAGCTCCAGCTGTGCCTGATTCTTATGATAATTTATAGCACATTAAATAGCGCCGGGAACTCAGCAGCTTAAGTGATGAAACGTGCGTTTGATATGATTGCGGCTAACACTCTCACACACACACACACATAGACACTCATAGTGATATACACACTCTCGTATATTGAGAGACTCATACATTAAGAACAGACATTTGACTCACCCGTTAGAAATGACAAACGACGCATTGCGGGAAACGGATGATAGCCTGAAGTATCCAAAATATCCAACTGAAAGACCTCATTTCGTATGCGATACAATTTACGATGAAACTCCTCAATAGTCGGCGTATAGGCCTCCTCAAAGCGATTGCCCAGAAAACGTGCCACAATCGACGACTTGCCAGCGCGTGACGACCTGCAAAGTGGACAGACAGGCCTTTCAATACAGACACCGATTCGACCGAGTCAACTCGCTTTGATTATCCGAATACCCACCCAAGCATCACAAGTCTATAGCAGTTCTTGGCAGAGGGCAGGCTGTCGTCGCACAGCGAGAGTCCTGCGCCCGGGCCGTAGATGAAATCGTCGGCCTGCTCAATGGCATCCAGATTGGAGTGGTGCTCCAGCATGTGAGCCTGATGGAGCTCAGCGGTGGTCACAATGCGGCTGCTGGTTACGCCGCCGTTGCTGCTGCCCGGTGCATCCTCCAGGAACGTGACCACGTGGGCTGCTCCGGCTGCTCCGGCAGACTGCGGTGGATCATCGGTGGGCGTGGATCTGTGGTTCGCACCGGCTGCGTTTGGCTGTTGATTGCTATTGGATTTATTGCGTGCCCTATTGATGCTATTACTGTTGCTGCAGCTTTTGGCTGCCTGTGCCTGCGCCTGTGCCAGTGCCTGTGCCTGTGGCTGTGGTGGTAATGTCGTTGGCGTTGAGCTTTGTCCCGGCTCGTTTAGTGCGACGTCGACGTAGTTGTTGTTGTTGCTGCGCGCACAGAACCAATTTTTGCAGCGATACATTTCGTCTGTGTCATTTCCGCCGCTTTAATGGACAACGGCGTGGCCTCGCTGCTGACCCGCTACGCCCGTTCGACAAGCATACGCCGTCCGCTTATTACGCATACGCCGAGTGCAACGGGCAATAGGGCTACCTGCGCTCACTTTATTACCTGTTTTTGCGCTGCCACAAATTTCGTTTGCTGTCGCCTGCAATCACTTTCTGTATGCGATTTGCATTTTCAATCAGCCAACTTTGTTGTGATGAACATTTACATATAAAGCTGCGCTTCCGATTTCTCAATCTGTCAGAAAAAAGCAGAAATTTTACAGCTTGCTTGCAGCTCTTTTTGCAGCTTTGGACTCGCTTGCTTTATCCTTGTTTAGCTGCAAAGAGTAATGCATACATTTAACACGCAAACACTTAAAAATGAAATTCGCTACGCGAATTGCATAACGAATGGCAGAGGATGGCTCCCGCCCTGCGCTTGAGCTGCCCTGCGGGTAGCAGTGGCCAAAGCTGCCACCCAATTGGGTAATTGCACAGACACGGCGGTCTATTCCAGTCGAGTAAACCACATAAAAATGGCGCATACAAATTTCAAATTGACTGCACTGGCACTGTCCATTAAAAGGGCTTGGCGTGGCCCTCAGCCAAGCACCATTTGGCTTCAATAATGACCATCTTGCAACAAATCTAATTAACTTTGTTTTGGCTCGCTACGTGTTCAGGATACTCCAACAGCCGCAGCCGCAGCGATGCCCCGTCGCCTTCATTCCGCTGACGTTGATTCGAATGCAGGCGGAACAACAAAGCAATGGACGGTATCAAACCGGAAAGTACCGACCGTAATCGAGTGCAGCAAGTGCCTTGGCTCAAATTTCGCCCATTAGAGCGAGTGCCCAGCTTCTGTTCACATTTTTATTTTGCTCCTCCTCGCTGTTTCTGTTTTCTTTTTTTAATACCAGCGCCACTTTTCAAAGGAATTCGGTTGGAAAATATGCAAGAACAAGAACTCGCCACATAATGAGTACATAAGTATGTGTGTGTGTGGGTGCGAGTGGGCGTGTGTTTGTGTATGTGTATGTGTATGTAATGCTCAGTAACTCGTTCATACAGCAACGCCCAACGACCTTGCCCGAACCCACTCTATTGTTGCTTGCTTCCATGAAGCTGGCATTTCGCTGTGGCTCTTGGGTGCAGAAATGCCATTTAAAGAACTACTTGAAACGATATCATAATTGAATTCGGCTTCCCTCGGCCCCTGCTCGCAGGCATTCTCATGTGAATTTGGTAAGAAAATACGCAAATTACTAAGGGCCGAGAGGAACACAAGTAAACGCCTGAAGACAATGGAGACATTTGAAAGCATCGCACACACACACACACACACACACACACAAAGCCAACGAATTCAGCAATATGCGAGAAAAGACAAACAACTTAAACATTTTTACAACTGTCAAATACCACGCACTTGGGATGGGTGGCGGGCTTAGGAAGATAAATTCAGAGGAAATGCCGGCAGGCCATTGAAATTAATATAATGTAATGTTTCAAGAGATTTTTGTCTACAAAGACAACTAAATTATTTATAATTCATTTCACAACCTTTACGAGTCGGCTAATATACATAATTAATTAGGTCTGCTCAAGTGCTGCTCTATAATCACATTTGCTATTCCTTTACTGTCAATCCATACACTATTAATCTACGCTTACATGCAATCTTATTAGTTTCCTCTTTACGTGCACCATGAAACATCAAATCCATCAGCTTTACCTGTAGGGTATAAAAAAAACAATCAAGTAAATGACAGCGCACTTCAAGCTTTGCACCTGGCTAAAAGCTGCTAAGAGCAGGGCATACTACTCTGCTGTAATTCATTTCAAGGCATTGACAGCGTAAATTAGAGCTGAGTTCCATATATAAAGAGTGGCTTCAACTAAAACTTTAGCTCAACTATCTTTAATTCAGTTCCAATGCTACCGAAACTATTTTGAATTCAAGTTCACCTAAGCTAAATATTTAGGCAGTTAGCTAGTTACGCGCCTTTACTATGATTATTTATTTAAAGGATAAGTCAGTATCTAAGCAAGCCGTTAAACTGTGTGAAGTTTTGTTGTTGCATACTTTTTTGCTGTTGTTTACAGTTTATAAATTAAACTGCATGTTTTTCTATTAGTCAATTAATAGAGAGCTACGAGCTCTACAGCTTTTGCACTATATCCCTGATGAGTTTCAAATAATATATGAGACTAGAGCCAAATGCGGACAATTACTTAGCCGGCATTAGACAAGTTAGGTCTCCAAATAACGATTGATGTGTTCCGAGTGCACACAAATTATTCAAAGTTCCCACTAGCACTTATAGTGTGTATATGTATGTGTGTGAGTGCGACTATTTGTGTGTGTTTGTGTGCCACCCAAACATTGCTGGTGACGCCTCTGGTTGTGCCACATGGCTGCCAGCTTGCAATGTGCTCAGCAATTTTTCATATATGCTTACAGTACGTGCATATAAATGCGCAAGGTGTCACGCCCAACCTGAACCGAAACTGTGATCCAGATCCAGAGCCAGAGCCAGAGCCAGAGCCAGAACAGCCGCAAGTTGTCATGTGCCAAGTCGAACTAGCAAATGCAATCGACACCTAATCTGGCGCGTACATCTGCGTTTTATGTGCGGAGCGTGGCGAATAACAACGCCAGTTGAATAGCTGCCTGGGAGAGGCAGGAGGCGGGGCGGCTAGCTCGTGAGCATCCCAATGCTAGTCAAAAATAATATGAGCATGTTGTGCGGTTTCAAGCTACACAGATAAGCCCCGGGAAAGAGCGAATGCTCGCTCACACTCGCTGGCTCGCTTGCTCACTAGCTCAGAAACCGCAAACAAACAGCTAGCATCAATTACAGACCAAACAGTGAGCGAGATAATCGATGAGAGCGACTATTCGAGTATATTTGCTGGGGTTATCAACGCCCAGTATCGGGCGAGTACCTGTACAACCCGCAGCACCGAAAGGGCCTTAGTTGCGCATTGACAAGTCGAGAATTAGAACGCCAATTTATTAAGTTCCCTTGCGAAGTCTATAATGTCAACGACTCGAACGAATGTCGCCGCTACCCATGGCGACAGAAGCCAACAACAACAGCAACAACAACAGCAGCAGCAGCAACAACAAGAACAAGTCATTCGAGAAAAGTACGGAACATGCCGTATTGGAAAGCTGGTGAGCACAGCTGGCATTGTCGTAGCCCTGCTGCTGGTCGTGGGAGCCATATATATGCATGTAATCCAAAAACATCGTCTTGGCCGCCTAAATATTGAGCTGGCGGCAGCTGGGCGCAGAGACGGCGAGGTGGAGCTGCCCTTTGAAGTGGTCACTGTGCCAGCCGTGGGTAAGTTGAGCTACACTGCTAATTGGGAATCATTGGCGGAATAGCTGCAATCGTTACAATATGCTTAGGTTCAAGGTTCCCTTGGCTCCAGCCACATCTAACAATAACGAGTGAAACTAATTTATGATGATGTTGACACTATATATATTAATGAACTTGAATGGTAAAAACACATATAAACTTAACTTGGTCGGCACTTTGCATAGAAAACTATGCAGGTGCTTCCGAAGCTAGTTCACTAAAATTTGACGCCGAAAGATTGAACCACTATGGATAATTGTATAGCATCTCATTCATATTTATTTGCTTGCGGATTTTAGCTGCGTTAGGCACGACGCTGCTTAGCGTCGACTGTCTGGAGTGCATCGCGGCGACGGCCACAGCAAAGAGGCCGGCGATGTGCCACTCGACTCCATGCAGCATCTACCGGATCTCAAGACCGTATTGGCAGGATGCGACTCGGGAGGCGACGCACAGTGGTCCAGAGGGTAAAGCGAATTCATTGAAGGAACAGCTGCAATGCTTGCTTTGCTTGACTTTCGACTAACCCAACTGAACACCATTCCAGATTATGAGACTTGTGTATCAAATCCGGACTGTGCCACGGAAACGGTGCGAAGCTTCATAAGTTCTTATGCCAGGGATTGCGACGGCGATGGCGTGATCCGATGTCGAGATCATATATTGCTGCACCAACTAGGACCTACTGGCTGTATGATGGGCACGCTGCCGCCATTGTCCAACAACCGCATGACCGATTGTCTGAGAGTGAAAGAGCTTGAATAGAGATGCGTCTTTGTTTGCTCAGAGAACGAGAGCATATGTAAATCATGGTTTTTATTGATTCTAGCAGCGGGCGGGCTACCAGCGGTACCAGAAAAAGGTTGGCAAAAACAGAGCTAGAAAATCGTGGAACAATAGCAGCGCACAGAACTTGTCATCATGGAGGCTGGACCTCACCTCGCCTTTGCCCAGTATTGTTTGCTCATGATACGCCATAATCTGTAAGTGGCAAGTGCATGGTGAGTGGGTGTGGCAAGGTTGTGTGTTGGGGAAAATGGGAAAGTGGGTCGATTGTTGTTGTGGTCATCAAAAGGCAAATGCAACAATATAGCAAGCAACAGTGACTTACGGGTACCACCAAGCAGACTTGGCCAAAGATGAACAAGAAAAACGGCCAGCGGACCCAGAGGACAACGGTAAACATGATGCAATATACGCAGAATACAAACACACAGAGACTATACATAAACAATAGGGTTCCATAATTCGTGAGGTCAAACTGCGGGAATGAGCGACATTAGAGTCAAATGCAGTCAACATACTGTTGGCACTATTTGACTTACCGGCAGAAATATTACCACTATCAGGACCACAATCATGATTACGAGAACGAAGACGAAGCCAATTAGCATTAAGAGGTAGTCGCTTCGTACAGCTAACAGACCGATAGCTAGGACCTGCGCCTCAACTACAACGATAGTGACCATCCAGTTAGCGCAGACCCGGTGCCGCAGCTGTGGGCTGACTGCGAAGACCAAGAAGAAGAGCAGGCCCATGAAGAATAGTACTATCAAGGCCGACTCGTTGCTTAAAATCACTCCTTCGCATATATGCCTGTAGACGGAATAGGGATTGCTGCAGTTGTAATCAATTGTGAGGGTAGAGCGGAAATACTACCTTGTTATTGCAAGTAAGCAGAGCCATTGGACGAAGGCGAGTACAGAGTAGAGGATGAATTGAATAAAAACCTGATAAACAAAATATCGGCGGTCCTCGGGATCCTCGATCCTATCCTTTCGAATGGAGCCGAATTTGGGGCGAAAGTCGGTCATGATTACAAAGAATTTTGTATTGTTTGCTTTGATAGTATTTAAAACTAATGTAACTAGTATCAGTCAGACATGACAAGTAGACAAAAACACGGAGCCTGCTTGGGTAACACAAATAAGCAGCAAACACAGCAAATTAGCGCAATAACATTTAGAAGTCCTACATAATTGAACTTTGCAAACTTTTCAATCTAGCTACATCGCGAACAAATTGAACGTCGCAAGTGTGTAATAATTAAAAGTTTACGCAGCACTTACAACATGAGGCGCCAACCGGCCACCCAGCCACCCAGCCACCCGTCCCGGCCACCCAGCCACCCGTCCCGGCCAACCGAACCCCTTGCCAAAGTTTGTGGCAACTTTTTAAACAAACAGCACACGACCTCAAACTTGGACATCATTGGATTTGCAATGCTTTGCAATAGCTTAATTTTAGCTTACCAAGCTTGACTCCTTGAATGGAGATCTTCGGTTGAATAAGCAGCAAATGCTGGAATTTACTCAGCAAGGAATTTGCTGAAAAAAAAAGAAAATAAATTAAAAATATATAATAAATCGTTTGTTTCTCTTTGCTGCTTCTACCAAGATGAAAATCGCACGCTCTTCTCTTAGTTTTCACTCAAAAGCAAACAAGAGATAATGAAAAATACTTTAGATTTTTTTTGAACGAGAACTTTTCAATTTTCACTGCTAAAGACTCTGTTAAAGGATAAAAAAATGAATGAAAACACAATTCAGAAGAAATGGTATTGATTCATCTACAAAATTATTGCCAACCTATATGTAGAAGTGCTTTAATGTTTAAAGCGAAATTTATTATTTTACTGTAAATTATGTTCGCTTCTTGCTCTGATAAACGACTGTTTGGCTGTTGCGTGCTCCTGGGAGAGAGTGTAATTTATATTACCACCGGGCGTATGCGTAATGTTAGCAGCCAGCACAGATGAACTTTGCATTCGAGAACTCGTTCAGGAGTCGGCCGTTGCTTTAATTTAATATTGGCATGTGGCCTGCGAGCAGTTGATACTATGAAATGCGCCATTCGCGTTCCGTCGCTTTGATTGCCGTAGACGTAATCATTCCATCGCATGACAAGTGAATATTACTTCATTTCATTCAATCAAGTGCCCAAGTGGCCCACAAAGCTAACAGAATTCTATATTAAACTGTTGTTAGCCCTTGGGGTGAGTCAATGCGCTGCATATTTAATTCAATGGAGCAATTGTAACAAATTAACTAATTGCAGATGCCTATCGAGTGCTTCAAACAAATTCAAGTGTTGCCTGATTGTTCGACTGACTGACTGACTGAATGCAATTACAAAACATGGTGAAGAATTCTCACCTCGTCGCGTGGACATTCCAGGTTTCTCACGTATGCAATTCGAGTGGCCCTCGTCAAAGGTGTTGGCCAGCATCAAATCCCGCAGATTGACGCCAGAGAAAACACGCACGATGCTCAAATTGATTGCTTTATGGCAGTCAGTGTAGTGTAAAATAACTGGAATGCAGCGCAACTTGTGAAAAGAATTTGCTCGTTTCTTTTTGCCAGCTGCTCAATTTCGTGCGCACTTTTTGCTGCCTCTACTCCTGCCTCTACTCCTGCCTCTACTCCTGCTGCTGCTGCTGCTGCGAACTTTCAGTGAATTTACAGTGAAAACTTTGCATGCAGTGCATGCAGTGCCTGTTGCCTCCCCCTACGCACCTCGCCTACCCACTCATGCATTTTTTGTACTTTACTTTCCCGTTTTCCTCTTAATTTTTTTTTTTTTTTTTTTTTTTTTTTTTGCCAATTTCGTTTGCACTGCCACGAACGCGTCGACGAAGAGGCCAATGAAAATGTTAAAAATTTATCATACTTTTGCTTGGCTTACTAACAGGATTTACTATATGAAATTCACATGGCATTTGGCGCGCACAAAGGGTCAAAGGGTATGCAGCAGAGCCCAAAACGGCAAGCATTAAAATTATATATTTAGTAAGCTGACAGCTTACTAATACCCTGTACCATTTTTCCAATTGAGACACGAGCGCAGCCAGGCAGACTGAACACTCATTTATTAATTACATTCTGTCACTCGAGAGGTGTGCGTCCGCTGGGTACAGGGTATGGAAAGGGCTGCCAGCCAGGCTGGCTGCCATAGATCGCCGGCAATCAGCAAGCGTGCCACATAATTAAGTGCACATCAGAGATTAGCCACAAAACGGGCGCAAAGCCCCAGCAAAGGGACCTCCATCGGCCGCAGGACATAAATCCGGAGCAGTGTCCGTTGCTTTTATGTGCATATTTAAATACGCATCAAGCAATGGGAAGCTGACACGAGACTAGAAAGACGAAAGGCTACAGCAACAATGTCAACCGACGGCAAAGACAAAGACGACTTTAATGTCTCTGTTATGGCAATGGCCGCCAGCTGAATGCTCAAAGCTGAGACGCTTCATTAATTTTATAGTCGTCAAGGAAGCTGCGATGCGCCAAGAGCTGGTGGAGGAATCTGAGGGCGGGAGGTGTGCGTTTTGCGGTGTGGTTTTTCGCTGTTCCTGAGTTGGCTTTGAACCTGTGAGGCTGCTTGAACAAAAGTTTTGATTGTCTAGCCACGCACTAATACACACATCCGACCAAAGCACACAGCTCGCACGCTATTCACATGAAAGTGGCCATGTGTGCGTGCGTGTGTGTGGGCTGCCAACTCAAGCGGTTAAACGTGAAACTTTTTTAATTAGAGTTGTGGCGGGCAACGCATGCCACGCTGGCGCATTGTGTAAACAATTTTCGTAATCTTGGGCGCATAGTTTGGACGCGTCCTGGAGTGCTTCCTGGCTGCCTGACAGCACTGACTGGACTGGCAGCCGGCCTGTCATGGCATTTGGCTTCATGCTGCAGCCGAGGCCAATACAAATATCGACGCAGAAATGCTCATCAAATTGGCAACAGTAGCCCGTAGCTCCTCCATTCGTGCCAAATAAAATTCATGAGTCTTTGCAATAAAAACGCCACAGCGTAGCTGGCGCGCGCTACAAAGGACCACAAAGGACCTCCACGCAGCACCAGCAACCAGGACAACAGCAAGAGCAACCAATGAGCCGCTGAGCGAAGCAGCTGTCACCACTTGGCAATGACAATGGCACCCTCGAGAGCAGCGCACATAAATTCGAGGCATCCTTTGTGCAGCGCTAAATTCACAACGGTTTGCATTCATTTAATTTGGCTATTATCAAAAATAAAAAGGCTTTGCGCTTGATTGAAGTTTCTAAGGCTGCCTTAGCCCAGGGCTTACCGTGGCACAAAATTATGCGAAATAACGAAAAGCCTTATAATAGAATATACTAGACCTTAGGATGTGGAATTCATAAACTAACCTAAGACCACGAGCTGCACATAAATGTATCCAAGCAAACCGAACCAGAGTTACAATTATTATTACTATTGAAGTTTGTGCGTGCAAACTTTTCAATTCAACTCGACAGCAAAGCAGAAGAAATTGAAAGTAGGTTAGGTATGTGGGAAAGTGCTTCGCATTAATCCATAACAAAAATCAAACTTAGCAGCAACATTAGATTAAGCTGGGACTATTTGACAAGCCAAGTCCGACAAAGTTATGTGCGTTTAAAGTTTGATGCGTCCATTCGGGCTAAGAGCACGAGCTTTTCGGCTTAGGCTCCGTGCTAATCCAATTTGTTGATGCTGTAAAAGCATAATGCAGCTCGTAAATTGTCTTGTGCTGTTGTTGTTCCAACTTAATTATCGAATGGCAGACTCTCATTGCCGCGATATGTGCGGAAAATGTTGCGTCTTTGCATCGGAGCGAAAATGCTTTTCGCAACAACATAAAACGTCCGCAGCAGCTGCAAATATCCGCAGGATGCGTTGGCTGTCAATGTGATTATGTCAACGCAATCAGGCAATGATGTCCTCATCTGCCAAGTACACTTCCGTGTTGTTTCTAGCAATTCCAACTGCTGCTGGCGTTCGGCTCTGGGAAATGCTGATACTGTGTATGCAATACGGGGTATACATAAAAGAAAAGCCATATCGTTACAAATCGCTCGCTTGTTTGCGTATCAATGAAGAAATACCCTTTATTGCATACTTTCCCGCGTGAGTATTACGCACGCACACACACAAAAACTGACACGCACACCCACACACACACACAGAGACGAAACGCGATGACAAACAATTTCCGTGCTTTTCGCCTTGTGGCTTCCGTTTGTATATATATAGATATATATTTTTATTTAATTTTTTTTTTTGTCGTGCTGTAAGCTTCAGCCACTGTTTGTTCTTTTTTGTATTTCGGTCAGGTCACATTTATGTTGATATTGCACGAGTATACATTAATTATGGCTATTTGCTCGGCGACTGGCCCCCCGCCAATTATGTGCACGAAATGGCTTATTATTGGTCCATATACATGCTTACATATCAACAGGGGGCGCGTGGCTAAATCAGCTACCAAATGGCTCTCAAAGGCCACTTCGACTTGCCCTCGAACGCACCGTCAACACCCGGAGAGAAATTTGTGGTAAACAAAAATAGGCTCTGTTTACTCGGCGAAGAGCCTTAACATTTGTTGCTGTCAACCCTATATAGCCCCGGATGATGGATGTTATTATAATTTCTATCTGGCCAAGCAGTCGCTTAACTCAAATTCGTCTATCTACCGTTCAGAAAGAGACAGAGAGATTTAGGGTAATTGCATGCCAAATGCAAAAAGAGAGAGCTGGATGGAGAGGCAGCCGCTCGTGCCGCCCAATTGCATTCAGACAGCGGTCAACCGAAAAAAGTTGGTCAGTTCATAAGCTGCTTAAAAATTAAAAACAATTTAATGAAAATTTGTTCCAATTATACAGAAAAAAAAAACAAAACTTTCATCAAGCACCGCAGAGCTCTGCTTCTCTCTATGGTTTTTGTCTTGGCAAAAAGTAGTTTTATTTTGTAATTACACTAATTGGTCCCGCACCACAGCCAGGGTGAATATTATCATGCGATAATTTACTTCGCGGTATATTTTGTGCAGCTGTTGCCAACCTTCACGAAAGACGGCGCTGAGAGAAGCATATTATTTTCTAAGAATTATGTTATTAGTTTAA